GGTGGTCCCCATAACGTCCCTTCAAAGTTCAAACTTCAAAACTGCTGTAAAATACCTTCCAAGCTATATTCGCTGTTGATATTTTGCAGATGATACATGCATGTTCCCGAGAATCGAACCCGCAGATTACCTCGGCTGCCAAATTTTTTGTCAGTACTCCTTTAACCCTGCAATAAAGTGTATCATCATTCTAGCTGCATTGACTTTCATAACTCCAAATATTTACTTAGACACAAGAAAAAGCATATCACATTTTTTTTAAAAGTTTGAGAAATTTTTCAGTTGCAGGCAGTTCTGCAAAGAAGTTGCTCAAATATAATTTCCAGCCACTTGTCGCACGCAAGTTCCCCACAAAGGATAACAAATGACAATTTTCACTGATGTACAAAACTGGGTTTGGGCATTAAGGATTTGTACATCTTTAATCTTCATGGTCATTAGTCTCTTTAAGAGCACACCAACAGGCTAAAGTGAGAGACAACTGCCATTTGAAACTCAAAGCTGCTGTGTCATACGGAAGAAATGTCACCTGCTGTGTTGAAGCACAAGCACGACACGAGGAAGTGCTGTGAACAGACCACCTGCTCATGAAAAGTCAAGCATATAAATGCCTCACAGAGACACGTGCAACATTTTCTCTGTGAACACCACATGATGAACTCTAATGCCAGGTAGAAACACCCTCCATGCTATTTAAAGTAGCGTTTGCAAATGCTTCTAATCATGGACGTCCCTCTGAAGCTTTTGTATGCGCCACTAGACATTTCAGCCAAAGCTGCCTAATGGGCTACTCGTTAGATATCCTGCTACTTGTCGGACAAACAAGTAACCACAACCGAAGCAAGATAATTAGTTTCAACTATTGCAGATTTTGTCAGACAGCCCCCCAAGGGATCACTCTTAGGTTCTCCCTAAAATTATCACAGATTTATAATAGTCACGCTATCCAGCCATTTTTTTATGTAACAGCATTATAGACATGAATAAAATAAACTCTCCAGCCACTTTTAGACAACTGTTTATAATGTTAAATCACCAAAAACTAGGAAACCGACCAGACGTTTCTGGCGAGTTTATTTTATTCGTATGAACTTTTACCCAGTCAGACAGATCTCTGTCAAATATGTTCACCTTCAAAGCATTGTAGATGGCCTTCACCAACTTATCACAATACTCTGACAAAAAATGAGGGCCAATCACAAAGGCAGAGCAGACTCACGACACATTACAAAGAACTAGCTGTCATGTGTGAAGGAGGCCTGAAACCAGCATGTCAGACACATGGCACACATTCTGATGCGAAGATATCACACAAAGCAAGGCGTGCTTAAAAACAATTATCTGACCCTTTTATCAACCATACGTTTCTTGACAGATAAACAATTCATAAACACCAGGCATCCCTTTCGTGCTGATGACTTTCTGATCTCTTAAAGCTTCTATCATCACCTAAAATTCTGCCTTCCTTAGGACATCTTGTCACAGTGTCACTGGTGAATTTCACACCTCTTGGAGGTGTCTGACAAAAAAGGGAGGCTGTGTCCGAGTGAACTGGAGGTGTACCAGAGTGTGCGTGAAAGAGCAAGTTCACAGGAGACAAAGTGTATGAATGTTAATTAGCTAACATTATTATGCAAAGTAGCCTGTCAAACACACACTTATAAAACTTATAAGCATGAAACAGCCTACTTCAGAGAGCTACACTCGGTGACAGCTTTCCTTGGCATTGGAGCGAAGGCTACAGAGCCAAATTGCGTGAATCCTACCGCCAGTGAATGTAGTTCCACAACAGCGTCTGTATTTTCAATGTGAAACATAAAAATTCCTCCTTTATTTTCGACGAAGAGCTATTCGACAAAGGACACAGTTCACACCATTAAGATATTCACAATTTCTTTAAGTTATTCCTTGTGACTTCACGTTTTTGGACGCGTGAGAAAGCCCCACCTTTCTACGTGCCCCTCAAACGCTAAGCAGCGTCTGCGTCTACATGAGACGCTGATGGTGCACCCCCATCACTGTCCGCAGCGTTGCGAGACGCGCGCCAGAACAGACTACTTTGCATAGTGCTACATGTGCAGAAGCTCCGCCTCCGTAGCTTTCGTTCAGTGCCAACAAAAGTTGTCCCCGACTATAGCAGTGCTCAGCTTTGGTACATGTTCTTTATTTACAAACAACAGTTTCACTCATGCGTGACTTGCACGGCACCCCTGATGTTACCATGGCGTAGTTCCAGCCCAGTAGGAAGCTGGGTACGTGATGTTACGTAAATTACATCCAATACACTGAAAGCAGGTGATAAAGTTGCAGGCGAGTAGCTGGTGGCTGCAACTTAATCACAGTGAATCAGATTGACTTCAAAAGTGAACACAATGCACTGACATCATCACAGGTACGATGTTATTGTACCAGTACATTGAGAAGCCAGGTCCTTGACGTAATGTGAAAGCTATCAAAATTGTTCCACTCGTGGTGTTCATCCTTTAAACATTCAAGTCACCACAGTGTGGAATTCAGTTTACTAAGTCTGTACCACCAGCACCTATTGGAAAGTTAAGCTGAATGCTAACAGCAGCTTTCGTTTGTGTAATGCAGTATTGCGGTATGTAGCAGAAGTGAAAAAGCATTTTATGCAACCCCTCTCATAGCAGGTGTTTCAAGAGGCATTACCATACAGTTTAAACTGCACTTTAGTTTAACAACCAGGCTCCATCTTCATATGACAATTGCCTAAACTATCAGATTTTTTTTTTAACAAGTGATGTCACTTCAGTTTCTTTTCCCTCTTGCCATGGTCGATTGATTGATTGATTGATATGTGGGGTTTAACGTCCCAAAACCACTATATGATTATGAGAGACGCCGTAGTGGAGGGCTCCGGAAATTTAGACCACCTGGGGTTCTTTAACGTGCACCCAAATCTGAGCACACGGGCCTACAACATTTTCGCCTCCATCGGAAATGCAGCCGCCGCAGCCGGGATTCGAATCCGCGCCCTGCGGGTCAGCAGCCGAGTACCTTAGCCACTAGACCACCGCGGCGGGGCCTCTTGCCATGGTCAGATTGCAAGGAAGGCTGGTAGGCAAGCTTAAGAACACAATGCATGCCTTATTAGGACGCCAACACAATGCTGTGGCAAACATGTAAATGCGATTGAAACTGCCATTGCCGAGGTCCCTTTGCAAAAGTACATCAATAACATCTCGATGTTTTGCTTTTACTTGTTATGCTGTTTCAGTTGCACAAGAAATTTTGCCTAATTGCCTATCGTTTAAAAAGGCATTCGTGAGCAACATTTTTTAAAACATTGGTGTACTACATGGGTAAGGAACACCCCTGTATGGTGAACGTTACTGCTTGAGGCGGTGTGTCCGCAGCCAATCATGATGCTAGCTAAGACGTCATTCAGACGGAACTGTTGCTTACCAAGCACTGCAAGCGTCTTATCGCAAAGGTTAACGGCGCACACAATAGCCTCTGCTAAAGCAATCGCGGACAGCGTTCCTCGGGCATTACGAATGTTATCCGTGGCGATGCGTGCCTTGAGCCGCTATAAGCAGACTGCATGAATAGAATAAAGCCCTGTGACTTTCTTTCAGGCGAAGTGAACGCGCGAAAACAATGTATGCCCATCAATCCTCATTTCGTCTGTGATGGTTTGCCACACACCAGGCCATGGAACGCAACGCGACATGCGTTCAATGAAAAACATGGCGCGAATCGATCAACACTGCTCTCTAGCGAATTCCGACAAGTGAAACAGAGCAGACCAAAGAAGCACGTCGCACGATCACTCATTCTACACTACTGCAAGACGATCCGTAGCACCGCCCTTCGGCGAATGAACTGTCAAGACTGCTCATGCGTGCCAGGTCAAAAGAGCAGCGAACCTGGGTCATCCGGTGATCTAGTTGGCAATGTACAATAAGCAACCGGGCATCAAAACAGCAGATCACCGAAGGCGAGCGGCAAATTTCGAAAATTTTTCGGCTCTACCACTGCGGGTGGTTGTGGGTCGCGACGCAGACCACAAAGAATGAACGGAGCCGCTTTGCAACGCCACAAGGATGCGTGGGGTGGATAAAAACCGCGCCCAGCCAACTCTAATGAGCCCGTCTAGGATGCATCCTTTCCGGCCGCTTCTCACTCGCTTGACACACTTATTACAGTGACAAACATCAAAATTAGGCTTAATGAGACTACACGCAGGGAGCGAGAAGCCGTAGTACTCACGGAAACACGAAAAACAACGTTGTCGCCTGTGATCAACAGCGTCCAAGCACATGTCGCCGGTAGAAACCTCGTCTTCGACTTGCATTTGGGCATTTTTGTCGACAGTTTAGCCGCCCGGTCGGAGTTTCTTTTACGAGTCAATCATGGGTTTAGACGCTTGTCACTGAGCAGCTTCAGGTTAACATGGCTGATGACCCTTCGCGTCCACTTGGAGTTGGAGCTCCTCGAAGTGCCGTCGGAGAGCGACCATGGTAGTCTCCTCAGGATCGGACACATTGAGTATGGCTAGAGAAGGACGCAATCGCCGTGCACGAAACCATTTGAACCAGCTGCACTACTTCTGCTCCACAGATTTGTCGCATCCACTCCCATCTCGATACATCTCCGGCAGAAATCTCTCGCCACTGTGGCCAGGCTGGTATCGCGTAACAGGCTCATTGCGCTATAAACGTCCTAAGCAGCCGCGCTGTTGCACACTTCTAGGCTATATCTCGTCAGTAATGCTCAATAACGTTCATTTCTAAGCAAGTAAACCAGCGTGCAGCTAATCACGTAGCTATCAAGAAGCGGAGCTGCACCCACTCTCATGCAAAGCACCGCATCACGTAGTGACATTGCTGTTTTTTTGTATGTTAAACAAAACTGTAAAGCATTAAAATAAATTTAATTCTATTCTTTTAACACCTTTCGTTCTAGAGAACAACAAAAAATGGTTTTTTTCTTCTCTTGCGCTACAGCTCACATCGAGCCAATTCCGGACAATCCAATCTAACAGTCCGTCAAATGCAAACAGAAGTGGCGGTGCGTCGACTGCATTTTCCAAATCCTCCCAGTTTCTGATTCGCGGTTCCCTGATGTCTTCCACTTCAGCACCTTCAGGTAGCTCATTGCAACAATCTGAAAAGAAAGGTAAGAACCCGGTTGAAGCGATAGGCAAGAAAATTAATACGCACTTCGCGTTTTCCTTGCTGCCGCTTAAAGAAGTTGTCTCCGGCATCAAGGGTTCAGCGTTCTGTTTTTGATGGGGGGATCGCGGTGGAACTAGTTTTGCGAAAGACTCGTAGTTCATCAATAAGCGTCTCTGATTTGTAGCAGTTCTCCTTCAAGTAACGGCTTTTGACGTCTCCCCAAGATCGATGAAAGTGCATCGATCTTCAAGGAAATTAAGAAAGGTGTACATTAGGGCGACGGTGAAAGTGCATTCATCTCGAAAAAGGTAACAAGCTTGAAGGGAGTTTAAATTGTAACAATAAAAGCGGCGTATCATGCCGGAGTAAAACAAAACGTCATAAAAGGTGAAAAGGGTGATGACCAAAGCGCATCGATCTCGAAGAAGTAACATATTTGGAAAAAGTGTTAAGTCAACTGATAAAATCGTGATGTTTTATAGAAGTAAAAAAAAAACTAAAAAAGGATGTACAGAAGGATGGTAATCCGAGCGCATCGACATCGAGTACGGGCATCAATCTCGTAAGTGTAGCAAACTTGCGAAATGTATACCACATATTTACGTATAACGGTGAAAGCGCATTAATCTGAAAGGGATAACAAACTTGAAAAAAAAAATGTATAAGTGGCAACAATAACGGCACTTTATAATGAAGGAGTAGCAAGTACAGAAAAAAATACGAAAGCCCATAGATCTCAAGGAGTAACAAACTTAAAAAAAAAAAACAGTCATTAGGGTGGCTTGACTATACATTGCTTTCCTTTCTTTCTCCCCTCAGGACTGACGCATGTCAGCGCGAGCATATCCTTCATCCTGATCTTTGTCTTTGTGGGCTTGCCCGTGTGGTGGAAAACGACAACGGTGTACAGGGTGAACCTCCCATACGATGAAATCGAGACACTCAGCACACAGGAGGTATGCATGACATGTTGTGTCAGAATGAAATGTGTATACCCAGTTTATGGGGGTGGGGGGGGGGGAAGGGACTGGGACTTTTGCCATCTGACAACATGAATAACTTTCCATGAATGAGACAAGCTTAGGCGGTCTGAACAATACACGGGAGAATCTGCTTACGGTCAAAAGTTGGGAATAGTCATGCAGTGGTGTCAGTTTGTTCTACTTAGATATTCATCTCAGTAGAACTCTGAAAGAAATCTGAAAGCATCACATTGTTGTTGCGTGGATGTTTTATGTATGGCATTATGATGTTTTATGCAGTGCTGTAAACAACAGGTGCACAGAGTTGGCTGTATTCACTGACCAAAATCGCAAGCACTTAATCTCACTATAGTGTTGCATTTGTATCGGATTATCGCAAGGATAATATTTGTCGACCGCGCACACTTTGGAGGAGCATTCTGCGGTGATGCCACATTACAAAGAAAATTTTTTCAGGTACAGTTGTATATGTTTTACATTTTCATATCATTTTAAGCACGCACTGCAGTGAAATACAACTTCTGGAATCGACTCTTACAAGTTGCTGACATGTTTTCTGCTGTGCAGGCTGCACATCATATAAACATAGAAGTAGTGCCATGTGATGCTAGTTCTCCAGTTCACGAAGGATTTATCAAGCGCCTTGAGGAAGCCAGCAATCAAGATGCAGCAGACCTCCCTGAAGTCAGCTTCGTGTATAAATGGACCATACGAGAACCCCATCAGAATGAAACAACGCTTTTTACAAAACCGCTTTCTGGTAAGCCTCGTGCTTATTTTTCCTTCTAGGCATTTATTTTCCCTTAGGAGTAGCTCATAGAGCCTGGCACAGTTTTTCCCAACGTGGGGTAGCCAACCAAACTTCTGGCTGTTCACTTTCACCGTGAACGTAAAGATTAAAGTGAATGTGAAGAAACATGGAGATTAAAGTGAACAAGGCATTCATAGTGAAGCCAAAATGCCTTTTATAGGTTTTTATTTTCGACAACATCCTTCGTTCTGTTGCCTCATGTGTCATTACGACCAGACGTGCTTCTGTTGAACTCTCGACTTCAGGGTTCGCTTGAGTGTGCTTTCGGAAGCAGTGCAACATATTGTGTTGCTGATTTTGACTACATAAAAAAAATCACTTATAAATTGAGGTAAAAAAGCTTTTGTCTTGCAGATGTCGATGAAATACTCCACAGGACGGATCTCTTCAGGTCTCAGGACCAGCTGTATGTTGTTATAGTTCCTGAAGGAAGTGCTCATGAGTCGATCACTATTGGATTGCACCAGATCATATACGTTAAGGCAAATAAGGGTGAGTTATTCAGTGATGATGTGCAAGCTTCGAAATAATTCTACATGGTTTTCAAGTTCTGCTGTATTTTTTCGATAATGTTGATGAGCAGAAATATAGCACGTTTCTTGCTTCATCAGTTAGGTTGTTAAAAGGTTTTCTTGGATCTACAATGTTGCGTAAAGTTTACTGTTTCGCTGCATAATTTGTCTCTGTTTGCTCTCAACTCCTGGGCAAGAAAGAATCGTTAAACGAGTAAAAACACATCACGAGAGCTGGCAGGAATAATTCACGTGAACCATACCGTGATATTCAACTGAGGGTTGTACTGGTTGCATCGCGCATGTGGCAGACTAGACCAGCGAGTACAATGTAAAATAATTATTGCGAGCACTGGGCGGCATAGCATGCTTGCAATCAAAGCGCTGCTTTGTCACAGTAAGTAGACGCATCTAGTGTTAATTTTAAAAAGCACCAAATGTAGGCAAAACGGCCAAAGGTTCTGAAAGCACGGTTCATTCCACGATCAGATGGATTAAAAAAGCGGGTATGTTCAAAGAGCATCACTTCGTGTAAATGATCCAGACAGATGCATTCTTGTATGTTTGAAACTGTGCAAGATATTGTAACCTCTGTAGCGCAGCCCTCACTCGAAATTGTCTTGTTAGTCATTGACAGTTTCTGTTTCACTCAGTGTTGGGGCTCAAGTAATGCACAAACAAAGCCCTCTGCAAGGTGCGACTATTGTTGTCATTTCCAGATGTTGGTGTCTTATGCAACAACATCGTCAGTGCTGTGAAGCGGTACTGCCGTCAGGGAGGGCATGCTGAAGAGATTACACACATCACACAAGGTTACTGAACGAGCAAAGGCAAGCATTTGTCAAATCTTGAAATCCTTTATTGGAACGCATGTCCACTACAGCGTAGTAAGCGTTTTGTTGTGTAGCAATGCTACTTCAGGCACTAGAATTTTATCTTTAATTCTTTCAAGTGCTTTTGCACATTTCAAACAACATGTTTAGAGTAACCTCATAAAAGTTTTTTTCCAAATCACTTGTTGAGGATGTGGAAGTTGGTTATCACGATATTGGCTCAGCATGAAAAGAAATTGAATTTCATTATCTCGTAACTATGCAGGCTGCAAGAAAAACCCTGAACCGCACTGGTGGCAGTCTTTCAAGTCCAAATGCTAGATGCCTGGGTAACCTTACTAAAACAGAACTGCTTGAAACATCTTTCTAAGCAGTTAGCTAGTGTTGGTAAACAAGGATTCTGATGGTCGTAAGACTCCAGGAAAGCCTTGTTCTGGCAGTCCGAAATGACGGATAGAATGTTTAGAAGGCAGTTACTAGACTAGACAAGATGTCCAACCTCCGATTTCAACCCAAGCGCAGTAGCTACATAGTGACTAATGTAGAAACTTTAGTCTGATCTCACACATCATTGAGGTGTGACTCCTGAAACATAGGTGGTGGTGCTTCCTATTCAGACGAGTCTTGTTGTGAGAAGCGTTAGCAGCGAGTGCAGATGCTGCTTAGCAAAAGCAGTTGCTGCTGTGCCGGGCAACATGTCACTTCCCGTGCATTTTTGAAAACATTGCTTTAAGAGCTCGAGTAAAACACTAAACCTTTCTCCTGCTTTCCTTACTTTGTTTCGGACAATGTTTTCACATCAGACGCGTATAGTTTTTCTGTTTGCATTGGTGTGCAGCTTGACAAGGAACGCATGAGGCCCTTGAGCGCAGCCACAGAGTTTGACGTGACGTTCACACTTGTTGTTCCCGAGCCACAGACCCTGGATGTCTCGTGGCGAATAGAGGACGCAGTCGAGGGTTAGCACACTCGTTTCCTCAAGTTTTGCTCAAGAGCTGTCTATTCTGCAGGCATAAACCGAATTTTGTTGCAAAGTGCATAGGACTGTCTTTCTTTTGTGTTTGCAGGAACACCAAAAAGGAAAATGATTTTAACCAGGATTAGCGAGCTTTTTTTCACAATTACAAAATCACCATGCCTGCCACGAGGAGGCACTTGGTAGGCAGAGAAAACGTGCATAAGGAAAAATGCGGTTAATGATGTCACCTTAAAGTTCCCAAAACATATGCCTCTGATGTCATAAATTTCGATGGCATCTACTACATCTTACCTAGTTCCTAATCAGTAAAAATAAAGTTCAGTTGTTCTCTAAGGAATCTATAGACTCAATTACAAAACTTCAGGAAATTTAATTGAGCCAGTGCCGCCAATATACGAAAAATACACTTCGAAATCTGTGATGCGATTTCGCATGTGTAGATTTCAATGCAAGAAGTTAAAATGGAACTTTGACCTCTATTTTTTGTTTACTAAAGAACCTATACAGTGGTAAAAATTATGACATTAGAGTTCTCAGAGTACAATTTATCAATTTGGACCAATTCATTGCTTTGCTTTAGTGTTCCTTTAAAGCAACCTGTATTTCGCGACTGACCTTAAAACTCTGTCATGCAGTGTACTTGAAGCCATTTCTGGACAAGATCTCACTGGTTGCCAAGGTGCACGTCAGAAGTCAGGTATTGTAACACTTTGGTAGTGTGTTTCTTTTTGCACGGTTATTTAGTTGTCAAACTGGCTGTTTGATCTCGCTGTGAGAAACTGCTTTCCACTGTTGGATGCAGTACACAGTGCAGCAAAGCCACAATATTAAAACGTGTACTTTGTGCACACCTATTCGTCTCACAGAGGTTGGTTCAGTTGTATATAGTGAAAAGGACTAAACACAGAGACACGTACTGATAAGATGGAACATTGATCTTTCCTAATCTTTATTCCGTACTTTAATGGCTGGTGAATGCTTTCTCGGTGTGAACGCAGGTGTTGTTTCTCACTTCACTTAAATTGAGGCGACACTTCAACCAGAGCGCCAATGCATACGTGGCAACAGCTGACCAACTTTCGCTGATCATAAACCCAATCGAAGGAAGCACCGGTGAGTGAATGTGTGTCTGTTATTGCTTGAAACTGTCGTCACAGAACTCATTAGGTAAGGCTATGCCAAAGGATCACATGAAGGCATTGACAGCTTAGCTAGCTAGCACAACTCTGGAGATTGGCACTTGTGGCTCTTCCTTTTTCTCTCTGTCATTTTTTGTTGTTGTTCTTGTTTTTGCTGTTGGTGGTGGTGGTTTCACCATGAGCATTGAGAGGCACTGCAGAAGACTGTTACTGTGTGCTGTTTGCTTTTTCCTAGCATTTTATTTATTACTGTGGCTTTTGTCTGGTCTTTTTCTTGTTTAAATGTATCCCCCGATTATACTAGGCTGAAATGTGGGAGGAGCAAGAGACAGGAATGCAAACACATCACTTGTGTTCTGGTGTTTGTTCCTTGTTTTGTGTGGTTTTCAGTGCAGTTGTGGAATGGCAACTCACGTCCAGCATTAGCATTCAGTACTACTTGGACTTCTCCAGGTTTCTAATAAACAGGTATTAAGGTCATGCATAGCTTAGAAAAACAGCTTTGATTAGCACAGAATGCTCGCGGACAAGCTGTGTGTTCTTAGCAGGAGCTACAAATATGTGGACAGATATCCCCCTAAGGATGAAAGTTAGGAGTTATTCCTGTAGCCGGTGAGGGACTACATTAAACTTGCATCTACCAACCACGCAGTATGAATTGTGTTTTTATTAACTATTGGTCGTGAAAGTCGCAGTAGTAGTCGCAGAACTTATTGTAATAAGTAAAAGTGACCATGCACAAGATTATTGTCACTACAATTACTCTAAAGCAAAGAAGCACTGCATACCCCTTCAGAAATTGTTCTGGTACTTTTGAACAGCTTCAGCCGATGTTCACTTCAAAGGGCCAGGATGGCGAGTCAATTTTTTTTCTTTTTAATTACGGTATGCCATGCTATCAGCACATACTGTGTGACTTTTTAAAAATTCTACTGTGGTGCCTAAGCGTTTCAGCCATTTTTCTGCAGGATTTCAAGCATCAATTCATCCCGTTCTCAATTTCGTGGTCTACGTGGTGCCTCAAACTCATTATCCACTCTACATATATGACGACCAAGGTATGCACAAGTGTTTTGCATGATATAGCTATTACTGAAGCCAGAGAGGTTTTCGATGCTCGTGAAAAAGCTGGCACTGTGTCTTATTTTGTGTTTGTCGAAGCATGAAAAATACTTTGTATTTATTTTGTGTACATTACCCCGAGGGTCGTATTCAATTAGGAAGGGAGACAGTTACTAAGTAGCAGAACAGGAAATGTGTATCCTGAGTCGTGCTAATGCTACAGTACCATGAAAACACTCCCTGATCATGCTTTACAGGATCTTTGTCTCTTCTGATTGTGGCAACACTTGTAGTACTTGTAGAATAATGCCAGGGCAAATATGCATTGTGTAAAAATATGTACGTTGATAGTCTTACATTTCAGTGTATATTTCAATTAACCACATCACATTCATTGTTAATGCAGTATGTCTACCTGCTATGCTATCAATAGTAATAACAATACTGTAGTTCTACGTACCAAAGCCATGGATATGATTATGAGGGACACCATAGTGGAGGGCTTTGGAACTTTTGACCATCTGGTGTTCTGTAACGTGCCCTGATGGGCCTCTACCGTTTCGTTTCCACCGAAATGTGACTGCCGCCACTGGAAGTTGCATTAGAAGTGGCAGTAAATAAAATTAAAATAAAAAGAATGCACCAAGAGCACAGATATTTTGACGGAGGCTAACTTTACAGTTGTCAGAGTAGCTGTTCAGAAAGTTTTTATCTTTGAGCTGACCTAGCATTGGAAGGAAGTGAAGCTACGTGTTTCCATTGAGCATGGCCAAAGCTCATGGGATTGCACAAACATGAATACCCAATAAGGTAGACGGGAAAGTGACCACTGGTGTAGCTTAACTGGTAGAATATAGGACGCATTATCCGAGGGCTGTAAAGTTCGCTACCTGCCACTCAAGTTCCTTTCCATTTGTGTCACAATTATCCTGATGCAGTTGAAGCAGACAGGTAATGTCCCCCCACATCTACCTTAGGTTTACTGTCTGTTGGTTTTATTAGGTTATAGTCTAACAAAAGAAACAAACCCTCGATTAATACATTCCCCCTTTTTCGTTAACCTAGGCCTCATAATTTACATAACGTGCCATTCCTCCGACAGGCAACCAGTTGGAAACCAACTCTTTCCTGTCCCCCAAGTGGGGTGGGGTTCTGTTCTACAACGTCGCCAAGTTTCCGGGTCCCGGCGATGCCCTGCCTCAGCCCGTGGAGATTGATATGCGCTCGGTATTTCAAGTGTTCCTGGCCCAGCTCAGCCTTCTCGTTGGTCTGCCCGACAAGAGCTACGATAAAGTAGTGCACTACTTGGACAGCCCTGTGCCTTCATATTTGGTGAGCCAGTGTTATAACTTTTTTTTTCCAAAAAAAGGAAGAATTTCAGAAGAAACTGACAGGCTAAAGAAGTGTAAAGTTCGTGAACATAGGATGTCGCTGGAGCCAATGTTCTGACAAGCAGTCTAGAAATGTTCAAGGAACTAACTGCCAAACATAGTCCATGTAAGTGTATTCTTTCTTAGTTTCTTCTCCACACCAATCAAAAGAAGATGAAAGGGCAAGTACAGAAGCAGGCGGGAAAGGAAGGAGGGGCCAGCATGCTGAAGTGGACGAGTCACAAAGATAGATGAAACTGCTCCTGTTTTGTTTGGGTTCGAGGATAGGTTACGAAGCATAAACATACAATCATAAAGGTAGTCAGTTGTAGCCTTGAAGGAGATGAGATTGCTTGTCAAAACGTTTGCTCCAGCAACACTCTGTATTCACAAGTTATTTTTTTTTATTTCAGCGATGTGTCTGCACAGATTTTGTTGTATGCAATTGCTCGCATAACACACCTGCGTCTACCACGTAGGTGCCCTTATGTAGATGCTCGAAGTGCACAATTAAAGAATGTGTGTGTAAAGATTGTCAGTCAAAAAAGTTAACAGTCAACTGTGTTACCGTACTGGCATGCTAAAATGAGAGTAATTGTGGCATTGCTTTGGTTGTACACAGTTTGGTTGTAGATGGAGCCACCTAGGTTCATGTGACAAATTAATAGTACTACAGCTGAACTGTCTTGTTTCTGTATTTCCATGCCATACTGCTAAACCTTGTAGCACATCTTCATTTTTTTTCTCTTCTTGTTTTCAGGACGTAGCATTCCTTCTTAGGCGCAGGACGCAGGACTACCTGTCCACTTCAAGCTCTTCTCTGAAGTCTCTCTCAGAGTTGCTCAGCAAGATCTCCAATATCGTAGTCAAGGACTGAAATCGGGAAACTGGTGAGTGTTCCTTTGCCAAATATGGCGGGCTACATAAATGCAAGCGTAGTGCGTTAATATCTCAATGGCGATCATGTCTCAAAACTATAAAACTTCAAGGTGGTGCTAAGACAGGAGGTGACATTTTTAAAAAGTAGGCTTGTGGAAATATTCAAAGGAATAATGCAACATTTGGATTCGCTTCAAATCAAGTTTAAGTTATTGAAAATTTCTAAGTTTTCTAGACTAACGAATTAGTGCTTGTTAGTCCGCATGACAGATTTGTAAAGATTGTTTCACTGCATTGAAAAGGTGCGAAGCCGTGGAAACATATACCCAGGAGAAATTCGCGCTGCCAGGAAACCTCACTTCAAAATTAAATAAAGATATTACCCTCACATGGATTCATTTTTTCAGTTTGAAACCTCGTTATGCTAACTTATATGCTCTAAGTATAGCAAATGTGTGAAGCAAACTTTTCAAACGTGACATACTTTACAGGCTATCACGTGCACTCTACCAAAAGTCAGCTCCTGCTAATATTCAAAGTTGCTTCCACATTCTTTCATGAAAAAAAAAAAAGCATTTGCAGAGGCCTTCTTTCAATATTTAAAAATTTTGCGCAGGTTAGTTTGGTCATGACAAATGTGCCCCCCCCCCCCTTTTTTTTTTATAATATGTGATATATATACTATTCGAATTCGATCCAAAATTATTTGACCTAAATCGCTATTCGCTTTGAAATTCACTATTCACTATTCGCACTAGCCCATCAAAAAGAGCAAAAGTCACACGCACACATACCTTACACAACAGGCGCCGCTTCGAAAGCCGCTTACACCAGTTCACTGTGTAGTGCACAAAGCCACCCCTGGGGATTTGCTGCGAGGTAAAATAAAGCGTTGAAGAACCCGCTCCCCCACAAGGAAAATGAAGGCAAGCAAAGCTTGGCGTGTACACGCTGACCTACTGCTTTTTTTTTTATTTTGCATTGCACAATGCCCCCTCCTCGCTTTTCCTTCTTTCATGATGGAAATCTGATCTTCACCCACGTGCGGCACTTAATTTGATACAGGCAACAGTGACAGGCATGAGTTGATTGATATCCAGGCAACAATAAAATGTGGCAAGGTCAAATGACTAGTCAGCTCGGTAAAATAATCAGATTGCCATATCAACAACAGGTGATCACCGACAAGGCTGCGTGTCGAGAGAGCATCTGTTGAAGAATGAATGGTGCATAGAAATTTGCATGCAATGGATCGAGTCAACATGTGCACATGCCAGAACGTGTGGGGAATGCACGTGCGTCCAGGAACAAACGCAAATGTGCAAAGAAACCTTTTCCCAAGTTAGTCAAGAAGGCAAGCTGAAATATTAGAATCACACTTCCTTTTTTTTTAGGGACAACAGATAACCGGATCGTATGCATCTCCCTTTTGCTGGTAATGAACATAGCACTGAAGGGGAGAGGTGCATAAGCCGTCCGTTTGTTGCCTTTAGCAAAAAAAAGGAAAGGTCTGATTTCTGAATTTAAGCTAGTCTTCTTGACTAATGTGGGAAAAGGTTTCTTTGCATCTTTGTTAGTTTCATCTGCTTGTTTCTGGATGCACGTTTAGGCCTCCACATGTTCTGGCATTTTGACATCATACAGATGACTACTGCACACTGTGCAGTTACTTCGTTGAAATCTGGTTGGTCTTTGTATTTATTCGTTTGTATTTAATAAATTTTAGTTGAATCAGTGCTCCTGTTGTCACCTTCTTTGAACCTCTTTAGTCTTTTTTAGAACACTTCCTCAACTCTGGCACATGAGATAATGCAAGGAAGAGTATCTATACCAATGGCGGCCCTATTCTCATGGCATCATGATATTGATAATCATTAACAAACCAATTAGAAAATTCTTTTGGTAAAATGCTAACTTGCCGGTTCCTTGCAGCTTGTACATGTTGGTGTCTACAGTACTAACTTCTGCTCACCTCTCGCAATCGAAGTATTAGCAAAGTCACCTAATGGCTGAGCTCCACATTTTGAAGTACAATATCTGGATGAAGTGAGCCCTACTTATTGGTTGGTTATTTACAGTCTCTTGGTTGCCGATTTTAGAAGCGGTTTCGTTGTTACCCCCCCCCCCCCCCCCTAAAAAAACATTTCTGACTATGCTGTTAATATACAAGCACAAAAGTATAAAGTTTTTTTGTCCATTTCATTCTTTTTACCACACTATGCTTCTTCTGAAGGTTTCATTTTTTTGTAGATTTATTCATCTGTATCGCACGCAAAGCATAGTTTCGATCTCTTGAACAAAGGAGACCTGGAGAATGCCTTTCAAAATGCTGAAGCTGCATTCTTGGCCTCTGGTAAGCCTCTACTTACTATTATTACTATTATTATTATTGTTATTCTTGTTGTTGTTGCTGTTGAACGTTTGTAGATCAAATATAGACAAGTGCCTAGGTCTCGCCAACTTCCATTTCTCCTTCTTACAGAGAAAGCCTTCTTCGATCCCTCGCTGTTGGCTCTCCTGTACTTTCCCGACGATCAAAAGTAAGTCGCCACATCTTTTTACTCTAAAGCAGGAGTCCTGCGGCCCCTGCTTTGAACTGGTGGCAACCTGTGGCTCACAGGTCGCAGATCGCTGCTTGATGTCAAAATCCTCGCGCTCCCCATGTCGCTCTTGCTGAAGGCTGACAAGGCATTCTTGACCTAAATGGGTTTTCTCAACATGTTTTACATTTTCAAATTACAACCTTGTGACATGAAAGAAAAAAGTGTACATTTATGGAATAATATTGTATAACCTTGCGACATGCATGCTGAAAATAAATGTGGTTTCGATTCCAGTTCTTGCATTTTTGTCAATTCTAATTTGTTGAACGTTTTCTCCTTGCCTGCGGTGTGGTTTCTGCATGCAAAACTGAAAATATTATTTTTTAGATCATGGTTGGCTATGCATTTATGCTGAGTACTGCGAATTTCAAAAATTAGAAAAATACATATTCGTGTGGTTTCACCCCTCCCCTGTTGCTACCTTTTTCTTTTCCTTACAGATACGCCATCTACATTCCTCTGTTTCTGCCCATCAGTCTACCAGTTGTGATGTCGATACGTGGCCTATGGACTTATTACAGGAACAGAAAAACAAGGAAGACAGAGAAGCAATACTAAACGGTGTTGCTTGAAGAACACGTAGATTAAGTTATTTCGACTGCCGCTGTAAATTATGTTAAATATACGCTTAATCAACGCTTTTGTATATGCCATATATTAGTGTGGTTGCTTGCTTATTGTCTATTTACTTGTTACTTGAAAAATGAGTAAACAGATTGGCAGCCTTGCGAGATAAAGATGATATATGCGCATAACATGTGCTAAGGTTGCGACAGGGTCATCAAAAAGGGAACTTCACTGCACTGGTACTGCTAATTCATTAGGTGATATGTGTGTATGATTGTATCTCTACAAAAATTTTAGACACAATAGCCTGCAGAATTGCCATCAGATTGCACTCAAACTTCATAACTTGCATTTTACAAGAAAATAAGTTTGTTATATCCAAAAATTCGTTATAAAGGTTTATTTTAACCCTATCTATTGCAAGACTATTTTTCATTTACTTCGTTATAACCAATATTTTGTTGTATATGGGTTCGTTATATCGAGGTCTGAGTGTAATAATAAGCAGAGGGGCAGTGAAGAGAGTTAAGCTAGCTGCGTCAGCAGGTCGGTCTAATACAGTTGAACATCAATATATTAAAGTTGATGATGTAAGGAACATTTTGAAAGCATGTTTATCCCCACACAACGAAACACTTGATAAAAAGTACACTGGACGTGGTAGGACACTTCTATCAAAACAAATGAAAGTTCGAAGACTTAAAATAATTTAAAGTCTGAATACGATGAGCGGCAGGACTGAGAAAGTCGAGAGTTCAGTCTCACCAGTATGTGGATGCTTGATTCTTGGAGGGAAGGTGGGTTGGCTGGTGATGACGAGCAAACGCTGGCTACTGGCGACGCGTCGAGAAACCAGGGTTGACCTGGGCAAGCAGCTGGACACCCAGCTCAACCCCGCAGCCTGACGGCTGTAGCTTGCCTGTCGGCACCAAAGTCTACAGGCCCTGGGCAAGAGTTCAGGACCGGGCGGATACTGGTCCCCTCGAGTGGGAACAGCGGTGGCAAGAGGCCCCGGCTAGTTTAAGTCTTCGAGGCTCGCGTCCGACACATGATGACCATCTTCAGCGCCTGGTACGATGACGGCCTTTCCGCTCGCCATGTCCTCTTTAAACTCTCTTTCTCTTCTCATGCTTTTTCTGTCCCCGAAATTCATTTGCTCGGCTTTCCATTGGAGATTGCGGGGTTGCCACATTAACTTATGATTGGCCTTTGAAATCTATGTGTTCCTTTATCATTTGAGATCTTCTCTTACTAACGTCTCGCCGCGCGTCCTCGCGCTCTTGCACTTTACATTTTCATCATCATTGTCTTCTGCCTTGGCCACCTTTCACCCGCATTCTTCATTTTTTCGGTTATGCACTTTTTCCAGGTGCGCACTTCAAACGAGATCTCCACTCATCACAGTGCCGCAGTTTCAATACAGTGAATTTCGGCGAGTGCAAAATGACTAAGTGACAATTTGGCCAAATCTTTTTTTTATTGAATGATAAAGTATATAGGTGTGCGATTATTCGAAATTTCAATACCTTTGGAAGTGTTTGCTATTCGATTAGCACTGTAATTTCACTATTCAAACTTCCCAAAGACAAATACAGTCAACATCCAATTGAAAGTGTCCCCTTCAGGCTTTAAATGTGCTTCGCTTTATCACATCTTAGTATTGCACCAAAGCTGCATTTCAGACTGTCTGACTTTTGCAAATTTATTGACTCTAAAAAAACGCTAGTTCCAACATGGCGATGATAGATGCGGCAGAGGTGGGGGCTCAAATAATACTGTTTTAAACCTGAAATTTGGGTAGGTGGTCTTAAGAATTGAACGTCGAAGCTTTATCATCCAAAATTACATATGTTCTTGTATATTGACATCTACGAGACAGATTTGGAACTCCACACTCAAAGGAAAGACGCCCTTGTCCACCATATCAGTTGGGCAACCACAGAAGTAGAAAAAGGGGGAGAGGCTGAGAAAAAAGCGTCTTTGCCTTTCACATGTGAAGTGTTGTCAGCAATACTTTAGTTGCACCAAATCATGAGTACATTAATACAATTCAGCCTCTGCATTGCCTCATTCTCGAAAATACAACTATGAAATGCCACCCCACCAACGCTTATTCAGCATAGTCAGAAGTTGCTATCTCGTAAAAATATGCTTAGAAATCCTCTCTCAACATTTTTTCATTAGAGGCAAAGCTCCTTAGGTAGTGGGTCGTTCCCTCCTCCGTATGTAGCCACCTCTAGATTATGACTTGCTCAATAGATGGCGTTGTGTGTATATGTTATTGGAGATGATATAACCAGGCAACGTTAGTGGTTTTCACAGCATATTGATGGAGTGAATGATAATGAGTGGGGTGAAGTGTCCGTCCATGTGTTTCGACCGTCCGTTCATCCGTTCGTGCTTCTGTCCATCCGTCCGTGTCTCTGTCCGTCCATCTGTCTGTGCATGCTTCTGTCCATCCATCTGTCCGTCTGTTCGTGCTTCTGTTCGTCCATCCACCTGTCTGTCCATGCTTCCGTCTGTCCATTGGCGAGTTCGTCTGTGCGTCCATTCTGACGAATGGACACACGAACGAACCCTTTGCCCCACTCATCATCATTCACTCCGTGAATATGCTGCAATTTTTTTGGAGTTTCGCTTTGAAGTATTCAAATAATATTAAAAAATATTTTATTCAACTCGCACTCGAATTTCAATATTTCAGTTTGCTTCGTACCCAAAATTTTGCTATTCGCACAGCTCTAATAAAATCGTCCAGGTATCTGAAGAAACTTATAGATAACCTCACTCTCAAATTTAAAAGCTAGTAAACTGAATCTGAATACTTCTAGGTTGCTTCTAGGCTGCATCTATGTCGTAGCCAGGCTTCAGCAAAGTGGCGATAGGTTGTTCCTACATCAATTCTCCGTGCAGAGAGGTCCTATTTAAACCACAGACAGTAACAGACACGATATGGGCACGTTGTCGTTGGCCTTTCATCGCTCTTGGGGCGTCTTGTTGCAGCCGCGGTTGCCTTTCCAGTTTCCTATTATTCTCTCATACATAGTCTGGATCTTCAGCTCACCGCTGTTGCTTTGCAGCCATTTGTCGAGCCAACTGTGGCCCTCTTCCCGTAGTGGAATTTGCAAGTACTAGTAGGATTTACCCAATTACTCAGGCACAAACCCATTCATAGTAGCTTTCAGACAGGCCCCACAAATTTGTGGCACACACTCGTTTGTTAGGCTAACTGCTGCCTCCGTTCTTGGTGGACTAGCGACTAGTATAGTGGGATGTACCCAATTTGTGCAACCTGTACCCATTCCAGATATGATTTTTGCACAGGCCACACAGTGGCACATACTCGAAAGGTGGCACAAATTATGGCTAGCCTGACAGCATCGCTGTTAAATGTTGCAAAACACTGGTGTGATGCAAAAATTCTTCCTAGGAGCACACGAGAAGGGGTGGGATCCAAGACATATTTGTTTTGCTTCAAAAAATTAAATTATGACAAACGTTTAAATGTCTTAAATTTGTGAAGACCACTTTACATAACACAATCTGCTCGTCACAAATAAATCGAGCAGCAATCGTGCAGTCAACTACATTTTCTCCACATGCTGATCAAACCAAAGAAAACAATCCATAGTTCACAATGTTGCTTGACAGGAATAACAAATGGGTCACCAGATTTTAGTTTTGCATTCGGCAAAAGCAGTCCACCTTATAGAAGTGTCTAAAACTTTGTACAGAGCTTGGGATACCTTTTAGGGGCAATGCTTATCTTCTTCAATATAGACCACACGATGAACTAGATTACATCACAAAATCCTTCTCAATAGATGGTAATATAAGTGCTGGATAAATGGAATCCTACAACCACAATAACTTGCAATGAATGTTTTTACAGCTTAAGGAATTACGGACTTAATGCAACTTAAGTACCAAACCTTCCATGTACCGTTTTTTTCTATGCTTTTATTATTTTGTTACACCGAGGTTCAACAATAAGAAGATGGTGGCCTTATTTGGTTAAAATGGTTAAAGCGCTAAGGAAAGCAGTACACATCTGCCTGCCAGCAACAAACACCCAATTTCCATTCTCGGTGGTCTCTTCCATTCTGTGCAACCCTAGTGTGTCTTCCCTAGCAATGAAACCATGTTTAATGAAGCCAGTTTACTAGCCAAGTTTCAACATAAGTAATGGAACAGCTTTGCCTGAACTATGTAAATACACTAAAATGAATATATAGTATCAACTACCCAAATTTCAGTCAAGGCAACATACTGCCATTCATTTCACCTTTGCATGATCCAACACTTTTTCAATTCCAAAGTTTCAAGAAGTCAGAACAACCAGCGGAAGTCAGCCACCAATACTTCATTGAGTTTTATTCCTTTTTATTTTACAGTCAACTTCCACACTTACGTTCCAACTCCTTCTGTAACACCTGGTAAAGGCTAACAACTGAATGCTCTGCATAACTGTTGTGGCAAGTTTTTATAAACGCAAAGAAAAAGTAACATCGCCCAGCTTCTTACAGCACTCAAAGCAGGAGTAACATCTGGCTTCGTTCTCTTATGCAAGTGTTTACAATGCTGAACGTATTGCCGCGAAATGAAAAGTTACTCACACGGGTGTTTCACAGACTCGACACATGCACGCAGCATGCCAATGCACTGTGCTTCATGAACAGCATTGGGACATGCTCGTGCACATGTATTTTTCTTCTCGAAGGAAAATCTTAGCATAAAAGTACAACCACTGTTACGGCAGTAGAAACAACAACGAGCTTACAGTTTATACATTTCGAGGGAAGGGGGAATAGGGTTAGCTCTTTTTTTATTGTTTCACTCGCAGTGTCACTGAAAGGCAATAAAGCAAATAAATGGGAGGCTTCAGACGCCACTTTCATCGCGGTACACCATATGCAAAACAAGTGACAGTTTCTAAACGTTACTATAAGTTGAAAATAATTATATCTGACAATGAAACAACCGGGCTTTTACAACATCCTTAACGATACAATGCTACGTAAAAAAAATGAATGACAATGCTCGAAATAGCCGAGAACTGAATGTTCTTACACTGCCAATAACCAAAGTGCTACATGGTAAGTCCGAGCACTTTGGCAGCTGTGGCTCATTTGCGGTCGTCAAAAGTGGTCTTCTCCAACAACTTACCCTCGTTTCCCTGTGCCCACACTCTACAAAGAGGCATCTCCCAAGCTGACAATGCTTGAGGAGGCTTAAGTTCATACTGAAAAGCACTATTTCAAGAAAAAAATTCTACGAAATACCCCCTACTCTCATGCACTTCGCCTTGCAGTTTGTGATGGTCTAGATCGCAGGCAAATCTATGCACCTACTGGCATGTTGCAAATGGTGTACAACTGTTATATATCTCCAACTAAAGTCATTCGCATCATCACAGAATATACAATAGCCACAGTTGTTCACAAACTGGCTTCAACTCAACGCTATCTTTAAATTAGCAAGGTGGCAATCTCAAAACAAAACCAGCTTCCAGTGGTTGGAGGTCTCGCGAAGCAAGACTTTTATTGGTGCTTGCAAGATGACCTGGTCACAGTATTTTAATTTGCCGAAAAGCACGATTGAAGTGGTTTCACCACTAGAGTAGCGTGTGGCCCAGTAAGTTTTTTTTTTTCTTGCAACAAAATCAGCATTGAGTCGAGGAAGGTTTAAGAACCTCTACAGCAAAGCTCCATTAGCACGGTCAACGCCTCAGTTCGGACTTCCGAACCACTAAGAATCTCCGAATTCAAGTAGTAGCTTTAGAAATGTCAGCTTGCGCTAAATGAAGAAATAGCAAGGGAAAAACTAGTTTGCACATCACTTGTTCGGCACGAAATTTTTTCTCAGTTTGTGCCCAGATTTCACTACGGGTGCAACATTTTTGCTTGGGTTGGAGAACACAACACATGCCAAGTGGTTTTTTTAAGTGTCTATGCCTTAGGCCTTGAAGCGTGATGCACAATTCCTTGACAAATGAGCAAAATGAGACGAAAACAAAAAAGGTAAATGTCTCACTACGGAGGTCGTGCTTTGCTAAACGCACAAAGCTTCAAATGCTCTTCCAACACAAAAACATTCATATTCACACACATCCATCTGAAGGTGAGCTGAAGACCTTCCTTCAACAGTGCAAGAGTAAAATATTAAAGAGCTACGCAGCAGCCACTAAGTGAATAAGGGCCTTTTGAAGTTTTAACTACTATACACTATGATCCAAAGTGTCGGTTGGGTCGGGAATGTCCAGTACACGAAACAAGATTGAAACTCACAAAAATTTTTTTGACAGCTCTACACGCGAATTGGATGCCAACCAAGCACACCAAGTTTTGCAGTCCTTTCGCACAGGTGCAGCGATATAACTTAGGAATGTTGCACTTCTGCTTTGCATACATGCCACAACAGAACAAAAAAAAAAGTTCAGACTCGACTGCATCAAGGAAAAAAAAGACATTGATAAACATTCCCGTTCAGTCTTCTCAGCTGCGTAGGATAATTTCGTATATCTGATGCACCCCTTGTGCCACTTCCAGCGCTCTCGTCTTCAAGGACAACTGCAAAGAAGGTGGAGGAGCAATGTACATCTGTTGCAGCAGTTTGAAAACTAGGGGCATACGAATATTCAAACATTTTGAATACCGTATTGAATAGTGTCCCATTTGTTGCAGCCTTTGAACTGAATAGTCGTTATTTGTGACTACACTTTTCTAATAGCTTTCAAATATCTGGTATGTTAACTGCACACAGACAAAACTGCCGTGAGAACACGATAAGTTTCCCCGCTAAGACATAGTTAGCCATAAAATGTGGGAGCTTACACCAGTGAGTAGGCTATGGTGTTTGGGATTCTAGATTTTGCCAGCTATACAACAATAATTCGAACTTCTGAATAGTTCTGAGCATGCAAATACTATTACCAGCTTTGTTATGCTTCGTCTATGCTTTTATTTCTAGAATTACAATTACCAGGATGAGAGCGTCATTTCACGAAAGTGCTAAAATGGTTGTTGCTCGACATTCAAAAACTCTCGGAAACAACTTCAATATGTCAATTTGCTTGTGACATTACTTGATGTGCACAAAGTTCACCGTTTGCAGACTTTAAATAGAGAACTATACTCTGCAACAACTTAAGAAGAGATGCAAGCTCCACTGACAGAATTGAGGTACGTCTGCCGGTCACTTGAGAAAGACTCATGCTAAATGGTTTCTCCTCGAAACATTAGTACTTTTTCTCTGCTAACGTCAGTACTAATCACATTAATAATAGGGATGTGGGAATATTTGAAATTTCGAATATTTTTTTAATAGTATTTGCTGCTCAATTCGATTCTTACTAGAATTTTGCTATTTGATCTTCCCGAAGACACATACAGTCAACATCCGATCGAAAGTGGCCTTTCCACGTTGTCAGTATGCTTTACCACATCACACTCCTGTACAGTGCAGCAAAGCTGCCCTTCAGGCTCTGCTACGGTCTCGAATGTATTGACTCCAAAAAACATTCGTTTCAACACGGAGATGATAGATGTGGCAGAGGTGGGGGCTAAATTATTCTCGATCTGGACCTGAAATTTGGGCAGATGCCGAAGTTTCTAAACAACCAAAATTTCAGATGTAATATATTTATTGATGTCTACGAGGCACATTTGGAACTACAGACTCGAAGAGAGCACACCTGTTGTCCAGCACACGAGTTCCATAAGTTGAAAGAGGAGAGGCTGAGGAAACAGCATTTTTGCCTTTCATGTGGAAAGTGTTGTTGCCAACCATTTGGTTGCACCAAAGCATGTACACAAACACAATTCAGCCTCTGCACTGCCTCATTCTTGATAAGACAACTGTAAAACAGCACCCCACCAGTGCTTCATCAACCCAGCCAAAAGAAGCACATACATGTTACTATCTCCTAAGAATATGCTGAGCAATCTTCTCCCACTTTTTTTTCGAGCAACTTCACTAGGAAGTATTCAAAAATATTAGAATTGAGTTCACAATCATAATTTTGCTATTTGCACAGCTTTAATAATTGGTTAAAAGCTCAGCTTTACAAGATAAAATTTTATATGTGGCTGAGCAAAAATGCCAGAATCCCCGACGAAATTTGCCAGGCTGTTCAGTTTCAGACCCAAAACTAGCACGATAAATGTGCATCTGTTCTGAAACACTTAGTGCTTGACTTGAAGAAAATGAGCAAGCGCTATTGGTTGGAGCATTTATGAAAGTTCTCTGCTAGAGGCACAGCGATGGCTATGGGCAGAGCTGACATTTTTTCGCGGCCACGTCCTCAGAAGCGGCAAGGCTTGACATCAATCCCCTCCGGACCTTCGATTTGTGAAATGCTACTCACAGTAATCCTGGGGTTCCCCGGTTGAACCTTCAGCTCGGCCAGCACCCAGATGCCGTTGGTGAGCTTGAGCGACTGGTACAGCATGTCCTGGCCATCCACGTTCCGCTTGGCGATGGTGAAGATGTTGTTCTGCTGCAGCCGCTGGGCCAGTTGGTCGGCCGACAGGGAGCCGGCGTCCAGTGTGAACTGCAACTCATTCTGGGCTGGGATGTCTTTCCAGGTGGCTAAAAACACGCGCTTGTCCATCAGTCCGTCTTCCACACACAACACGTGCAATGGAACCACACAACTGAAGTAGAAGACGTCCACGTTGTTCTTGACGGCCACCTGAAACAATGGCCACGCAGAGTTACAAATGCCCTACAGGGAAGTGCCTTGCGTCTTAATGACATATTTTAGCAGTGAAATAACACAAAAAAGAGCAAATAAACATACAATGGCATGGATGGGCGACATAGCTCAATTGGCAGAGCACCACACACATAAATCAAAGGCTGTGGTTTCGGACTTCAGAAAGGGCGATTTTTCATCCAATTTCATTTATTTCAATTTATGTGATAATTACTATACTACAGTCAAACAACAATTAATGTCCCCAACGCTTTCCTTGATACAATTGTCTATTAGATTCCTTTGGCTGTGTCTAACAGACACAAGCATGCCTCGAAAAACTTGCCCTTCTATCCACAAGGGAATTTTGCTTAGCGATGCCTAGGCTTCACAGGGTGGCATAAAAGGCTTCCAGTTTGCATGCACAAATGCAACACTACATTCTTTCTCCTTTAAATATTTAGTGACGTCAATGACCAGGTACAAGCAGGAGAAAAACAGTGGCTTCACAATGTCATAGGGCATCGGCCTCAAAACTTTCGCCGACTTGTGTAACGCACGTGGCTTGTTACTTTTTGAACATTGATACGCTGCTACAGCACACTTCAGCACTACAGTAATGAGGGTTTGAAGCCTCAAGCACGCCATCAGAGATAAGAATTGGACAGTGCACACCACCTCTCCCACACAAGTCAACCCTCACAGTAGTCTAGAAGCTTTGGTGCTCAACAGCTGACTGACCTGAAGGTCCCTTGATCAAATCCTGGCCGCAATGCCTGCATTTCGAGCTCTTTGTACGCAGATTTAGGTGCATGTTAAAGAAACTAAGGTGGTCAAACTTCCTCGAGCCCTCTACCTCTGAGTTCCTTATACAGTCGAGCCCCGCTTATAACGAACCTGAGCGTATCTCTCCGAACCTGAGCGTAATTTGCTGTATCTCGAACTTCGTAGTAAACGAAACATAGCTTTTAAAAAAAGTTGCCAGTGAAAACACAAACTTTTTTTGCCCCAAAAAGTCCATGATGCACATGTTTCGAAGAGCAGAAGCGATAAGGGCGGTCTCGAGTTCATTTAAAATGGCAGGGCCTTGTTCGCCGAGGCCCGTGGCATAAGCTGCATGAGGCACTGGCTCCAAAGTTTCGTCGTTCTCGCAATCCGATTCCTCCAAATCGCTCTTGCCACGTATTTTGTTCACCATGCCCCAATCCGTTCACGGTTCCGCAGTGTCGGCATCATCACCGGCCGTAATTAAACCATCGCAACAGATGTCCCAACCGCTCTACCAGGTCGGAGTCGATGACACGCTACCACCAGTCGCCGCCGCCGCAGTTAGGAAGCTTCAGGCTCTGCATCGGGCCCGACGTCAACGAAGTTGGCCTCGCAAAAAGTTTCGTGCGCATTTAGTTGTCACCCCCGCCCACGAAATATTCACCACCTCCACAGCTGAATACCGGGTATGCCCGAAGCGACAAGTTGGCTGCCAGCTGGTCAACAGCTATGGGCAAGCGCTCCACAATGCAGCACCTAACGCGCGAACTACGCTCAAGCTAAGCGGTCACACTTTGGAAGTTTTGTTGAGCGGCAGAAAAAAGCGTGCTAGTCCTCCTGTCAGCCATCATGACCACACACGCACACCAAGAGCGAGCAAGACGCACACACACGTGGAACAGCTCTGGGCGTGTTTCCAGTCGGAAAACGAAACTAATTCGAGCCAGCGTGGCAGGTGTCGCGGAGCAGTGGAGACGGGCGAAGGGTTTGTGATCAAGAGAGGAGAGCAGACTTGCGAGAGAAGGTCAAGGAGTTGCGATAAAGAGAATGGAAGATGCGGCGGGAGGGCAACCTTGAAAACCAAAACACACGGGATGGAGGCAGGTTGGGTAGCTTGCTTGAAAGGTCCGCGAAACTCGCACGTAGAAAAACTTGGTAAGAGTGCCTGCTCACACAGAAGTCAAAGCATGGCCGCCTGGATCAGTGCACCTGGCGGTGTTCGAAGAATTGGCAGCCGTGGTGAAAAAATCATTTTGTTGCGCCGGCGGGGTTGCATGGCCTCAAGAACTTCGATATTTCGCGATTCGTTGCGCGCAAATTAACAGTCGTTTTCGCGCTTCTGCACGCGCGTGGAAGGCATGCTGATCTGAGTGCGAAATGAGCGAGAACAAGTCCTAAACATGAAATGAATCACAAATTATCAGAGTCTGTAGGGTAGCGTATGCGCGTGCACTAGACGTAGACTATCGGATACAGTCTGTGGCAGACGATGTTGGCAAATGGTCTGGTTATTCCAGGCTGGTGACGCCAACGACAGTACCAGCAATCAAAAACAGGGTAGATGGCCGACCCGTCTTCGAAAAATCGGCGGCAGTGTGAAAACACTGGCATCGTCTGGCGATGCAGGATGCTCAGAGTAGCGGGGGACAAAGGACGAAGGGGTGCACAACAAAAGCAGTCTGGGCATGGAGGAAGGAAACAACTTTCCCTCCTCCATGGGTTGGGAAGAGCGGCAACTAGAGGGTCGCGGAGGCAGGGTCGGCGTTTAACAATAAGAATGTATGGACACCTCGCCGATGACTGATCGGTGGTTGAAAATTGGTTTCCCGGGAAATCAGCAGACCGCCGACTCCGTTCGCTGTAACCGATCAGCGGCGCTCGAAGACGTTCGTTGTAAGTGCGATTTTGTGTCATTGAACCAATGTGTATTTTCACGGTTTCATGTATATTGTTCGTTTTAAAGTGAAAGTTCGTATTAAGTGGGGTCAGTTATATGTCGGCTCGACTGAATCACGTTTTCGAGATGCAGAACTCTACAACTATTGCTACCATCTTCCACACAAGGCTTGTGGCAATCATGCCTTCCCCCCCCCCCCCCCTTTTTTTTAAAGAAAGCCTCTCACGAGACTAACAAATAGTGGCGGTGCCTGACCTGCAAATTTGTAAGGGGATCCATCTTCTGGACAGGGCCAGTAGTGGAAAGCGGAAGGCTTGCATCTGCCGGGAAGTTCGGCTGCAAGGGAGCCTGCACCTGCAGTGGTTGTGCAGGGGCCAGCCCAAAGCTGCACAGAGAAGTAACATGCATTGAAGTATCATGCAAAGATTCCAAAGGCCTTCATTGGGAAGACAGCAGCACAAGAAAAGTGGATGACGGAACAACGCGGCACTTTTCAGCAAGTGACCTACAGCTCTCTGTTATTTCACGATGTGAATACTGTTCTTAATTCAAGCATCCCAATTTCCAATGTTGTCTATCCTTCAGCTTCAAATCCCACATGGCAGCTTATAGCAGCATGTACAGCACTCATGAACTAAAACATGATTTGAATACTTCAACTATAGTAACTGGTATGCGCAATTCCTTAAGCTGACCATGTCCTGTTGCTAAAAATCTGGCGACTAATGGTGATGTTAGCTCTCATATGCCAATTCAGCACAAGCTAAAGACAGTGGAACTGAAAGCATCCGCTAAATTGTTGCATTTCATGAGTACTGTACGTACATAAAAAACAATGCACGGCATAAAGATACCATCTAAGCTTTCTCCACGCATTGCCAATGAAATGGTAGCGAAATTAGCCACACTGCTGCACCTCTTGTCCAATTTGTCCATCACACTCTGTGCCATGTACTCAACTTCCACAAAGCCACTGTGATGGGCAGCCAAAATAAGTGACTGCCTGAAGGCAAGGGCAGCTAGCAAGAACATGAGAAACTGCAACTGACATTAGCTCACCTGTTTTTGTTGAACTGGATAGCAAAGCCAGTCATGGCCTGCATTGCTTTATTGCTGAAGGTCATGTCCATGAAGATTTGGCCATTTCTTCGCGTGAAGGTGCCTGCAATCTCCAAACCTTTTCCTCGCGCTGCAGGCAGCCAGATCTGCGAGATGGATTTCAGAAGTTGACTTCCTCGCAAGACAACGAATGTGCACATAGCAGGCGTCTCAAGTGCAGGTAACATCAGTGGTGGTACTATTGTGTACAGCACAAGCCGTTGGTTTGGCACATCAAAGAAGGCACTTGCACGCACAATCTTAAAAGGCAACCATGTACCCCCTTGAGCACGAGTCAGGTCAGTTAACAGCTTGTACAAATTTTATGCCCGAGCTGCGCACTTGTGCTTCAAATTCCTTAAATAGGGGTAGAAGGCATGGCACACCTGGCACTGTTCTCAACACCTGAAGTCTTTTAGCCCATGTAACTTGCCTCGATAAACAAACATCTTCAATTTATTTAACACATATCGAAATGCGGACAAATGTCATTGTATACGGTACAAAAAGTTTTACTTTAGTAGACTTGTTAAACGAACCTGAAGGGACCATAAATAAGCCCTGTTTAGCAGGAGTTCCATTTACTGAAAGACTAATGCAGGTGCAGAATTTAAGTAAAAAACTAATAATATTAGAGGCAGTTCTTTTTAAACAGCAGCTCCACTAGAAGACTTTCGCTCACCAAGAGAGTACTGCAGTTAAAAGCAGCATACTGAAAATGATGTCATACCCGGGCCTAAGTTTGATCACCCTGTGTTCTTATGAACCAGTCCCTACCAAAACTTTTAGCCATCTCCTTGAAGTTATAAAGTGTCACCCAGGGGGGCTCCAGCACAACATATTTTCAAGCAAAGTCGCTACGAATGACATATTTTAGTGGTAGCGGCATATTTTCGCCATAAACATGGCACTAGCCAGTGTACAGAAATGAAAGCATACACTAATGGGCCCCCAAGGGTGCGCCGTTCACATGCCTACTTGTTCACATCGTTTTCCAATAACTGATGCCCTCTAAATCGTGGGCTTGTCACCGGTTAGCCATTTCTGATATGAAATTCTGATGTTTTATCGAAATCGCTAGTCATTTCATGTTGCCACATTTCATAGCTGCCTATCATCACTGCACTTCCGTTTCACGCATGACCGTTGCTGCCCCTAGTTACAGAAATGCTGCACTGATAAGCACGTTGATGAATGTTGACTTCCAAGCATGCGAGAAAGTAAAAGTTCAGAGAGATCAGGAGAAAGCATTGTGCAATGCAATAGAAAGAAAGCAAATACACTCAAACCTTATTAGAACAGAGCTGCATCTAACAAATAAGTTCGTTATATCTGAAAACTTATGGAAAGATCAGCGTCTATTGCAAGACTATTTACCTTGCTATAACCGATAATTTGTTATATCAGTGCTTGTTATATAGAGGTTTGAGTGTAGTAGATTAGACATGCATATACCACACTTCTCTTTTAGGGCTACACCTATCATTTTTCTTTCCATCGCTCTCTGTGTCATCTTCAATTTAAGCTGAGCGCTCTTTGTAAGCCTTCAGGTTTCTGCTTAGTAGGTAAGTATCGGCAAGATGTAACTGTAATATACCTTCCTCTTGAGGAATAGTGGCAATCTACCAGTCATGATTCGAGAATGCTTGCTAAATGTGCTCTACCCCATTCGTATTCATCTAGTTACTTCAATCTCATGGTTTAGCTCCGCGGTTACTACTCGTCCTATGTAGACGTACTCTTAAGAGTCAAGAAGAGAGCAGAGTGGATTAGGGAACAAACCAGAGTTAAGGATATTATAGTTGAAATCAAGAAATGGACATAGGCCAAGCACGTAGTGCACAGGAAGGATAACCGTTGGTCGTTAAAAGTACCGGACTGCATTCCCAGAGAAGATAAGCGGGTGAGGGGGAGACAAAAATTTAGGTGGACAGATGAGATTAGGAAGTTTGCTGGTATAAAGTGGCAACAGCAAGCACAGGACCGAGTTGACTGTTGGAACATGGAACAGGCCTTTGTGCTACCGTGGATGTAGTCAGGTTGATAATTAGATGATGATACCACACTTTGCTTGCCTCCATTTTACTGACAGAAGAAAGGCTCCCAATTTTTCAGCTACAATTCGGTAATGGCCTGGGTAGATACAAACAAAAAAGGTTGCAAAGCCATGGTGTCAGAGGGCAAGCTACCTTTGCCCGCTCCGAACCCACTTGCCTGCTTTGGTGGCGTGTAGAAGGTGCTGGTGGTGCCTAAGCCAAATATGTCACCCAGCAGGCCGGTTGTGTTAGTGGATCCCAGTGGAGCCGGCGTCGCCGCTGGGATAGGAGCAGCTCCCGCACCGCCAAGAGGGTCGCCCAACTGTGGGAAGCAGTTTATTCATGAACTTGCAAGTCATTCAACATTTGCAGGGCAAGTTGTTTGACAGCTTTTTGTACAGCCCACATACCAACTTTTCATACTCCTTAGGGGCTGCGACACTGTCCAAGAAATTTGCGAGCTCAATAAAAATTAATGCAAGCCTTCCGCTGCCCTGAAGCTTGCCATGCTTCACAAACATGTACAGAATACCTCTGCAGGATGGCCAGGACGTTTTAAGGCACCTTGATGCTTGCAGGAGACTCTCTAGGTGCTCATGTAAATCATTTCTGTAGCAATGGCCTCTTTTCCTTTTATGAAATTTATGCAATTTATGCTTTTCATTTTATGCATGAATGCAATACCAGAGTTGCATATGCTTGACTGCATAACACTTTGCCATTGCAGTGAAGCAGAAATTTGCACTGCTATCATTGTGAGCAGATTAGCATTAAAGAGTGTTGCTCCAAGGTGGCAAGATAATCAACATCACAGTATGTTGTGGCCTTCATACACCATTTTTAACTTGCAATAACAAGAAGAGCCAGAAAGACAGAATGCCGCAACATGACAGTGCCCCAAATTTCAGACGATCCATCACATTCTTGACTTTATAGAACACATGATGGTCGCGTGAAGACGTCTAAATCATCAAGCGTGTCCAATCAGAAAACCTCGTCAGCCATTTCTGTGCAGTTCCATCTCTATAATCATTTTTCCAGGCCAGCCCTCTGCATGTCAGTAATTGTGCAGTGCTTTCTGGTGAAGAAGCCAATTGTATGTCTTAAAAATGCTTGGTCCAAGTAGGGGACTGTATCACACTAAGAATTGATTTGTGCTTTAGAAATTGCAATATACAAATGCAAAAGTTTCGGTGTCAATAAACTAATAACTCGTACAAAGAAGCCCTCAACACATTATTCAATTCATACACAAGATGCAATGCTACAAAACATGGCGAGGATTCCTGCAGTGATGTGTTCACACCAAGAGGAAGCTTCAATATTTTGCCACCCGTAACGCAAAATATATTTTTTTCTCGACTAAATATAAATTAAGATGCTTTGTGCCTTAGAAATAAACAAACCTCGTTAATTATGTGTGCATTTGCCAATAAGTTCTGGATCAGTTAGCATATTGGCTTTCGCATTGTGGCCTCCAGGATTAGTTCTCGTAGCATGCAGCCAAAGCCAATCGCAGAGGCCACGTTTACAATGACGAAATCCAGGAGCCAGATGCACATACCTACACATTTCGATGCATAAACTTCTTGCACAGCACAGTGTTGCACATGATGTATGAATTGGATTACAGTTTCCTAACATAGGCAGAATGAGTATGTGCAAAATACTTCCAAGCTGGGAGCTAGAGCCGTGCAACTTACCAAGCTGTCCAGACCGCCACCAAAGATGTCCATGGCAGCCGCTGGAGCAGCAGCAGTCGGTGGCACGGCCGCGACAGGTGGCACAGCAGGTGGAGCACCAATGTCCATGCTCAGAAGGTCACCAATCAGGGTGTCAGCACTCGGGATGACAGTTGACTGGTCCCCAGCTCCCGACGCTCCTGCCTCTTCTGCTGAGCCCACACTGTTGAACGAACAACAAAACTTACAGCTGTTAAAGCAGCTTGGAGCCCGGATCATTGCCTGTTGCACTGCCCTTGCAAAGCAGCAATGCAATCCATATAGCAAACAACTAAACATGGGCGAATATTTAATGTTTTCATACATTGAATCGAATATTACGATACTCTACGAATAGCGAGTTACTTCAGCTGAAATTTTACTCAGAAGTTATTGATTATTTAAGACGAGTGAATAAGAATATTTTGCCACCCATAATACACTTGAAGAGGCAGTCTCACGGCAGCACTAACCACACCACCGCGAAGCTACCTTTTCAGGCACATTTTGCAATGCGGTGAAGCCACAGCACAAGAGAAAGTTTGCTTATTGCCCACACCTAGGCTTACTAGCATTTTGCTTAGTAGGCAAACTATAAACACACTGGAAAATTTTATAAGGCACTGTATGTATTTTAACATGCAGTATTTTCTGCATATAACCTGCATCCTGAACGCCAAATCCTTTAAAAAAATCTTTAAAAAAATCCTCGCATACTGCAGTGAAGTCACCTTGCACACCAGAATTCACATTTTTGTCGCGGCCTTAGCTCGCTTCAGGTTTTCTTAGTTTGAGCTGGTAATGTGGCAGACCGGTCACAACCGATAGGGAGAAACCATGCACATTCCCTACAAAAATAACTACATATGGTTAAAGTTCGAACACTGTTAGTTTTTTTCTTTTACAGAAGTAACTTTTAGCAAGCTTGATCTAAACTCGTTATGATCAATAAGATCAGCTGTGAAGGAAGCACCATTCACCTAAGTTTCCCAAATATCCTCGCTTTCATTGGAGAGAGCATTCTTTAGTTTCCCAAGAGCTGGGCAACTACTATAGATAGGATCTGCATTGCTGTGGTATCAAACTGTTGCTTCGGTGTTTGACATACAGTGAAGAGAAATTAGTAGGACATAACAGCCAATCTAAGTGTGGCAGTGAATGGTTGGCGTGAAAGCCACATCATATTCACCACTTATCACCAATCGGACCAAACCTCACATGTATGGTCTAGACCGCTGGTACGGTCACAGAGTCACGAACGAGCCCACCAAGTTAGTGTGCACAAGAACAGAACGAGCTAACCTTGATTGTGGACTGACAGTGTAGCGCAACACAGCATAGATCACCAGCGTGACTTTTAAGGGTGCCTTTCGTAGCATTGATATTAAGCCTTACCAAGAACCCTTGCCAAGAACAAGAAATGCAATTCAAAGCGTTAAACACCAACATCACTCAATGCGCTACTGATCGCAAAGCCGTACTGGGATCAAATTTCTGCGCAGGTATTGGCTCCCTTTCATAGTTTGCATAAAAGGAGTCTATCCCGACAAACCAAGCTAATCCAGATCGACCTAATCACATCAAAAGTGACCTTATGACACCGGTATAAGTTAAACCTGACCTGCAAGTCAAGCAAAGTCATTGCAACATACTTCTCTAAAGTAAGGAGATAAGAGTGCTATGTAAGCAAATTAGCTGCATCTAATGAGCTGTCTCGCACAGATAGTGAGAGGATACTAGCTGTGAACATATCTGTGCATTCACTACTTTAAAAGTAAACTGAAGTGAAACTATGAATTGGTTTAGATTGATAAACTAGAATCTGAGAACCCTGATCTCATATGTTTCACAATCGCAAGTTCATTATTAGAAGAGAAACTCAAGGTTGCAGTTTCATTTATAAATCTCGTGCTGAAGTCTCCGCCCTGTAATAATCACTGCTTTCAGGATGTATTTTTCATACTTTCGCTACATTCGCTCGATGAAATTTCCTGAATCTTGGTATGTTAGGCCTTATGGCCTCCACAAATGACAATGTACAGTAAACCCTCCTTACGACGAAGTCAGTGGTACGACAAAGAAATTCGATATAAGCAGTAATTCGATATACCACATTTACACGATTGTAGGTCGACCCATATTGTCTTAATCTGAAATCTGCAGTTAGGGGCTCGACCTAGAACCAAACACTGATTTCAGTTGCAAAGCCTTTTTAAAAAAAATCCCCGCATATTCCTGCGAAGCTAGCTTGTTTGCACGACATCGAGCACTGCCGTGTAGCCTACATGGAACACCGGAGTCTGGATTTGTTTTCGGAGACGTGGTAAATAAATTTTTTGATGAAATGTGCTAGAGCTTTCTATTTCTTTGCCATTACGATTTTAGGGGGCTGACCTACATTCGAGTCTGCTTACAATCGTGTGAATACGGTATGCGACTGCCCATAAAAGCTCAGCAAGTGCACCTAAATTAGCCATGACAACTTCCCAGAAGTGGTATTCAGTGAAACAAACCTTTATTCATGCACAAAAAAAGTCAGTCAGCTGGCTTTGTTGGGTGCTTCGGCTGGGCACGAGGAGTGTCTGCTCCAGTTTGTTCAGGCAGATAAGGTCGTGGTTGCCGCCCGTGCACCCCACTCTATTTTGCATCAGATGAAGGCTCTCCTGAGTTCGTGCCACTGTATTTCGCGAGGCTGTTCATCTAGCTGCTCATCTTTCTTATTAGGACCTCCAAGCAGGTCTACTATTTCGGTCGGATAGTCCAGGGCTTTGCCACCAGGGCTTTGCCGCCTTCCACAGTATCAGCAAAGGAAGCTTGCCCTCCCCCGCCCCTTCGCGTTAGCACTGAACAGCATTGCAATGCATTCTTTACTTTGTTTACATCCTGGTGAGGTTCTGCCCAATGTAGTGTATCGGTGCTTCAGCAACAGTTTATAAAAATGCTGCCTCGTCCAAGTCGTAAATGTCTATTTTCATACTGCTGAAGTAGGGTCCTCAGCCAATGCTTGCGCTATCCGTCCACAACATTGTGGTCCATGTCTGCACTTACACCAACGATCAATCTTGAAGACACGCCGTGCCGTCTTTTCAAATGTTCAAGCCAGCCGTTGCTTCTCTTAAAATCTTGCTAGCCCATTTGGGCGGCTAGGGCTTCGAATTTTGCAGTCAATGCAGGTCCATTCACTAAAAGGTGTGCACATTTAGCGTTTTTTAGCAATTCCACCTCACTATAAATAGAAACACGCTTGTGCTTTCGTTTGGCTAAAAAACATGTCTCGAAGCGGCCCAGTACAGCATCCTTATTCTTCAGAACAGTTGATCATGTTGGCGGCAGTATTTCGAATTGTTTTGCTATTTCAGATTTCTGCCGGCCTCCTCTTTCCACCTCGCGTATCAGTTGAACTTTCTGCTCTTACGTCAGACACTTTAGTTCGGGCACCGGCGATGCCATTTTCACTTGACTGTCACTAAACGCACACAACAGTGCACACCGAATGTCACGGGTTCACACAGACTGCACAACACACGTGCTTCTGCCAAACATGAATAGAAAGAATCCACGGGCCAGGAAGCACGCTAAAACTCCGTACAGGTCACGTGACACCACCGGCGTAGCGGTGAACAGCACTGAGCAGCCGGCATGTTAGCGAGCGCCTCCGACAGTCGCTTCCGGTACCAGAGTAAGGACCGAAGAGGAAGGGTAAAATTCGCGCCACGGAGACTCTCACGGCGTCTGCACCAGTCTGCGCCTATTTAAAGCTGCTACACCAGTCTGCACCTTGAGCATGGCGACCCTAGTGCAATTATCGCTCGCTCAGCACAGATAAGGCCGCTCGGCGCAGGACGTAGATGAAAAAAGTACGCAGGCACTTCAGCAACGTGGGCGATCACTCATCCTGCTCTGTGCGCCACTGTTACTACGGAATCTGCAACTTATTACCGTAATTACTCGAATCTAACGCGCACCTTTTTTCCGGTTAAGCGAGTTCATAAATCGCATGCGTGTTAAAATCCAGAACGAAAAAAAATGAATACGGTCGTTCTATTGCCATCGGCATTTCCACAATGGCCACCCTCTTCGTGCGTCGGCATGGTGCGTCGGCCATTTCTGCCTATGTGTTTCCCATGTGCGGCACTTCGTACGTGTACTGAGGAGTTCGTCATCTTGTAGTGCATTAGCATCGACGGCATAAAAGGGCCAACTCCAAAAACTCGACGATGCACCACGATACCGCTTTTAAAAGAAAAGTCATCGCGTGTGCCCAAACGGACGGAAATCGGGCCGCATCACGGTCGTTCGGAGTTCCCGAAACTTGCGTGCGGGACTGGCAGAAACAAATGCAGAATACTGTCGACAGCAAAGATTCACGCGAAGGCTTCAGTGGACCACAGCAGGGTTGATTTCCGCAAATTGAAGAGCTGCTCGGTGAGTATGTGATTGAGCACTGAGCGGCACAGCGGCCTGTGACGACAGAGCTGCTCCAAGTGCAGGCTATACAGTTAGCCTTAGAAAAAGGGCTAATGCGGAGCCAGTTTAAAGCGAGCATGTGCTGGCTAACTAACTTTATGAAGAGGAAAGGCTTTTCCCTCCGAAGGCGAACGGGCGTATGCCAAAAGTTGCCGGAGGAGTACGAAGAAAAGCACAGTTTTCAGAGGTTCGTCCTAAACTTGCGGCACAAACTAACTGCTTTGGCAAATCGGGAATGCCGATCAGACACCTCTTTACTTCGATATGCCTGGCACCACAACTGTCGAGAAGAAAGGGGCGAAGCAAGTTCGTGTGCTGACATCGGGCCACGGTAAAACTAGAGTGACGGCAATGCTCCGTTGCACGTCAGATAGGCCCCATACCTGATATTTAAACGGAAGACGCTCCCGAAAGGAGTCGTTTTCATGAGTGGTGTGATCGTGCGGGCCAACGATAAAAATGGGTGCGTGTTGCAATCGATGTCTTACCTTTTTTTTTTTTTCGTCGTGGAAATCGGGTGCGCGTTACAATCGAGGGCGCGGTAGAATGAAGTAAATAGGGTACTTCGATCTAAGCAGAACAAGATATCGACATGCTTTGAGTAATTTGGTCTAAAATACATGTATTGGGGTCGGAACTGCATGACACTTCGATAAAAGCAATAATTCGAATAAGGAGGTTTTATTGTAACGAGGGTTTACAGTATTTCATTTTAACTGACCAGCAACTTTGTAGGACCTGGTAGACGCCGTCAAATCTATGAAATCAAGGTATTTGGTGCGGGAATTTCAAAGCAGTGTTTCGACTTGCATTTTCTTTTTGCGCATTTGCTCGCTTACCAAGCATTGTCTCCCGGTAAGAGTTGCGTTGTTGGGATTGTGGAATTGTACTTTAAGTTTATTGATAAAGAAAAAAATGATTTTTTCTTTTTAATTCCCCTTTAAAGCAGCCTGTGTGACAAATGTGGGAAGATGAGACAGGGCACTTACGAGTTGTGCCTTGGGGGCAGGGCACGGCGAAGGCCGGCACGTGATCCCTCTACGAAGGCCGAAGGGGGCTTGTGGTAGACCGAGGCAAGGCTTCCAATGTGACAGATGAGCTCGTCGAGCAGGCTGGGCTCGAGCAAGTCAGTCTCTTCGGAGATGAGTGGCTTCTCAGCCAGCACAACCTCTTTGGCTGCGGCAGGATCTGTCGAGAGCAGCCGCCAGTAGATGAAACCCCGGTCCCTGAGGTCAGGATTGTCACTGTCCTGGGTGGCCAGACTTAAAACCTGCGAGGTGAAGATTGCATGAATTATAAGGCACGGTCATCAGCAATGTATGCAAGGTTTTAAGAATGGCGTGCAGTGCCATGTACTCGAAGCATCACAAACACATCTGCTAGATATGCAATGACCACACCAGGGAAACAGTAAGGGACGCAGACTTAGTCAAGCCAATATGAGACTGTCTACATTCTTCTACCCTTACCTCATACAGATGCGAAATAAAGTTCAGCATATGTGAACACATCTTGTTTTTGACGGGTTTCTTTACTGGCACTTAAGGAAGAGCAGGATATATAGCGCATAAGATGGATTATGCCTTCTACACAGAGGATGCATCTTGGCTTAACCATAGTGGGTGGCGTACGACTGTAGCCAATCACTTTAGTGAAGGTACAGTGGACTCATTAAATGGAACATGAAGGACTATTAAATATCTTCTGTTAAACAGCAGTTTCATTTACAAAGAGATGAACTGGGTTGACACACTTAGATATGAAACCAATTATACTAAAGGCAGTTCCATAGAAGTAGCAATTTCATTTCAAAGTTTTGTTTGCTCAAAGTCCACTGTACCGTGATATTTGACGGGTCATTCGATGTGTCACGTTTTCAGAATGGACATCAAAAGTGTTTTTCTTTGTTCGAAATCTATACTCCCCCAAAAAAAAAGAGTGTGAACGCATTCTAAGCCAATCATTCCGCTCTTTTTACATAAAAAATGGGACCCGACTGACTGCATGATAATGGTTAAATTGCAAACTGATTATAATTACCAAAACACACACACAAAAAAACACATTTTTTCTCTTGGAATGTAATATCGGATGCCTTGGTAATTATGTTGCGAGAGTTAGATGCAATTACAGACAGTACATTACAATTCATTTTTAAGAGAATAAAAAAAAATGGGCAATGTATACTTGAAAATGCAAATAGTGTAACAATTACCTGCTGCACAAGTTCTTGGGTCTCGGTGGGTCGTTTCAAAAACAGCTTGACTATGGCTGTAAGCAGCTGAAGTTGAACCTGTGCGAGAAACGAAGAAATATATCTCGAACTTGCTGTACCATAGCACAACAGCCAGGCGAGTCGTCAGAAGATAATGGTAACACAGGCTCACTTGAGTATTCTCATCGTGAAATCCTTCCAGAAAGCTTTCCAGGAGTTCATCTGCATTGTCAATGCGCTCAGCATACTCTCCTATGATCCAAATCATAGAGGCTCTGAGCAAAGAAAAACAAAGCGAAATCGTACAGACGCTTGGAGCTCTTACAAATTAAGTACAGAGAACACGCGGAAACACTAAAGCTGGTGTTGCATGCCATTATTTCTCATGAAACTGATGCACAGTATCAGAGAGAAGCAGCTGCTTCAAGTGAAGTCATTCTTATTCCAGCATATGAGCACTACAGTTATGGTTAAGCTGAAAATCGGGTACAAGTCGAAGCTAAACTTGGGCACCTTTAATTTTTGCTTTTCTGGGAGAAAGAAGCATGTGTTACCTTGCTTCTGGTTCATCCAGTGTGTCCAGGTTTTCACACAGTGTTGATATAATGCTTTCATACTTGTTTGGGTACTTCCTAAAGATGTCCTGCATTAGAAAGGTTAGGCATACAAAATTTAAAATGCTGGGCTCTAAGAATCAGTTGTCGCATGAAATAATGCTTCTGTGCATAAACTAAGGAATAACAAAAAGCAAAAGAAAGTAGTATGCCCTACTTTGTGTCCAAATCTAGCCATGAATTTGCAGATATCGATGCGTCCAAAACCAGTATCCTACTCTGTTGTCACAGTAGCCTGGGGCTCAAGGAAAACTGCTATCAAGTTTAGCTAACATGCAGCGCTAACAGTTCTATTTATTGGGTCCCGCACCAAAGCACTTTTAGACACTACTAATTAGCATGTCAGTTGATTATAACTCGCTTCAGTGAGCACAGTTTATGTCCAAAGTGCTCCATCATCCTGTCAAAGCCCCGAGAAGTGCATTGTAGGAAGCTCACCTTGATGACAACGATGGCCTCTTGAACAACATAGTTAACCTTGGTTTGAATGAGGTCGAGCAGAGTGCTGACACACCTCTCGGCTGACTGCTCCACCTTGATGGCACAGCGGCCAATGGCACGCACAGCCTTGCGCACAAAGTCCACATCGACTTCCGTGGCATACCTTCACAAGAGAAAGTGCGAAAGATTTGAGCTCAGCCTCAATTTTAGCTGAAGTCTATTAAAAAACGCCATGTACTAAACTGTATTGTTATGAAGTGAAACCCCATTGGTGTAGCTTGTACGGCGCGCGTGTTAGCATAATACAGCAAGGTTTCTCAGTGCCTGCGACCCGCAACGCTGAAGTCCACGTCAGCGAGCTGCTTTCGTTTCTGTAAAACAGTGCGCAGCAATTCTGTAAAGCGGTGCGCACTTGAACACGGTCCTGCACAACAAAGCGGCAGCGATAGGCGGCCCAGTGTGTTCAGGCAGTCGCCTACTAAAGGCGTACAGTAGGCCTAAAGCAACGCTACGCCACACGCGTGCCCGAGCAGATAACCGGGGATGCTTACTGTGATCAGGCTTCTCGCCGGTGATAAGTCACACTGGCGCGATTGTAAGTGGTCGCCACCTCGCCTTCGTTTTTTCCCCGATTACTCACAATGTCATCGCCGCAATGACGCGGAAGTCTGAAAACTTCATCAGCTGATCTTCGCACTTATCAACATGACGGAAAACCGTTCCTGGTACATTGTGGTGACTGAAAGTTCAGCGGCGCAGTAAAATGTCATGCGGCAAAATGTTGTCGTAGTACGCACTAACCGGTAGGCATAAGCCGAACACTATGGCTTGAGTGGTCCGCGAATGCATTAATACGACTGTCGGGGATTCGTCGCAACTACGTTTTAACCGTTGGTACGCTTAATGTGGGTACGCACTAACGAGGTTTGACAGTAACAGAGCCGGGATCTAGCTGAGCAGAAGCCTATTTGCAAAACAAGTTACATTAACATGCTATGAAGAGAAATTTATAGAATTCGCTCACTCACTGCTATAAAGTCTAATGACATTTTTCGAATTCCGACAATCAGCATATAGGTCGACATCAGCATATAGCTCAGCAAGACTACGAGACTAGAAAGCTCCAAGCGAGTGATTCGGAAGTGAATGTCATTCGTCTTTCTCCACAGCATCACCATTATACACCACCTTCCTAATCAATACTACACAATAGATTGATAGTTTCTCAGCGATCGATCTTTCAATAAATATCACCAGAGTTTAGCAGCGCTCAGCCAAGTAAAACTATCCAATGTAAAGGAAACAGAGCAGGGGGAAATAGCATACCTTAGAGTCATTCTCGTTATGTCTTATGCTTAACTTACAGCTGCTATTCACAGTAAAACTTTTCTTGGGAGACCAAGCAGAACACCCCTGCCCCTCAGGTATTCATGCAATAACCATGCAAGTTCTCCAGGTCATGCAGAGTGCAGCACACCTCACTTGCTTATACGAATTGGTATCCAATGTCAGGTTAAAACTAAATGTTTACTGAATAGCCCGCACATAGGTCTAAGTGCACTACAGCGATTCTCGTGATCTCAGAAGAGGTGATGTAAAAAGAAATGCCCGTTGATGGGACTCACTCTTTCAGCTCGGCCAAGACTTGAGCAATGTTTGCTTGGGATGCAAGGCGTATCATTATGTCCAATTTCTCCAACTTCACGTATATTGGGTCGTTGTACTTGACAAAGAAGACCTTCATTTCGTGTTTCAGGATGTCGGGCCTGCAAAGAAAGAGAGAAGGACGCGGTTTCCGTTGCGCTGCCTGTACGACCACACATTTTCACACTATACAAGTAATCACACTATAGACAATTTGGAAGCACAGAAAACTGAGCCTCACCTTTTCTGCACGATAAGGTTGATGTTCCTGAGTGCCACGTACTGCACCTCTGGTTCACTGGACAGCAATGTGACCAGAGGAGGGGCCAGCTTCTTTGTCAGGGTGGTGACGAAGTCGGAGTCGCTGCTCATCATCTCCATGAACTTCATCAACACCTGAAGCAGCAAGGGGCGTTCGTAAACTCCTGTCCATCGTAACTCACAATAAAAGCAGGCATCAAATGCGATTCCTGCATGAAATGGCCCTTTGCAGGAATATCGCGCAGTGAGGAAGCAGGGCGTTCACTGCACATACACAATATTACAAGCAGTGGTGTTGTATGTATATGGAAGCTTTGCAAGCCAACACATGAGATTACCAGAACTTTGTACTGCCCAGCTGGAGACAAAGAAAATGTATTAAAAAAGGCATACAGTCTTTTATGAGGAAAGTAGTTTCTTAGCATGTGCATTAGAGCAACTGATAAAAGCCTTTTATCCTTCTGCCTTCACCGAAATGCCACCAAGGCCCAAAACTGAACTCGTGAAGACATGCTCAGCAGCAGAATGTCACAGCCAATACAACACGTCTGTTGATCAAGTTTACCGGCGACTTTAAGGGGAACCCTGAAACGACCTTGGTGTTTTGTACGACCACGTTGGGCCAGTAGAACAAGTCCCAAGGGTTATTTAGAGACCAATTACAGCTCTCTGCATAAACTCTGTAATTTATTATGAAGCTTTAAAGCTGCCCATCGCTGCAGATCGTTGCAACTCAGCCAAACACGCGTTTGATGAGGCCAGAGCAAGTCAGCAGCCATGTCACCGTGGCTGCTGATCTGATTGGCTGTCACAGGCTGTAGAACGCGCAGAAGTAAGACTGGCTGGTAGGGTGGGGGCACCTGTCTGATCAGATATGAACCACTCCGCGATTTTCGTCTGTTGCCAGACTGCGTGCGTGCTGCCAGGTGCACTATGTGATGACCTCCGAGACTGTGCCCAACCAGTCGGCGTGCAGTCTCTGAGGTTGTCTAAACTGGTAAAAGCTCAAAACGTCTAGCGCACTCATGAGCGCTCTGCAGTCGCCAGGAAGAGGTGAGGAGGGTATGATATGAATGTCCATAGTGGCCTCGGTACACGGTGTGTCACTAAATTTGTCGTGCGAATTGTTCGATGACACTCTAGCCTAAACGCTGACAAAACTTCAAAAAACTGTTTCAGGGTCTGTTTAAACTCACGCAAGGTATTGTCACATTGAGTTTCAAATCGTTCGAGCCATGTGGCTGAGCCAACAAACATTGCAAGAAAGATCGGATGAAGCTCGCACTGACCTTGACTGCCGACAGCACCACAGCCGCATTGGCGTGTGCCAGGCGAGGAGTGACCCGCTCGCAGATGCTCTGGGCCTCGCGTTCGTCCTTGGGCGAGTAGTTTGACAACGAATCAAGGATGAACACTTGACCCCACTCGGTGCACTCGTTCAGTGCAGTCAGCAGCTTATTGATGGTGGGCCCGCTCATCTCGGACAGTGGCTGGCCACTGCTCGATGCCTCATTCATCTCTGACAGCGCTGCCACAGCATTGGCCACTACCTGCGTGTCACAACCACAGCACGAAATTGGCAAGAATGTGGAACTGTTTCCATCGGTGCGTAGCTGTACCATACTGTGAAAAAAGCTCTCCCACGCTCCCCCATGCCCAGCAATGCCTAATGTATCCTAAAAGCTTAAAACAATTAAGCGACAAAGAAGGGGACAAAAGTGTATGCAAATGGAGATGTGTCGTTATATACTATGCACCTCGAATTTTAATTCTCAATATTATGATCAAATTTAAGTACTGGAAACTACAGTAGCCTACAGTACACTATTTTTGATATGCTAGAGATGTTTCAATTGACTATTGTTCTGCAAACAAATCATTGATCAGTGTTGTTTTAAAAAAACACTTTGCAGAAGCTAATATAGAGCAGTTGAACATGCCATAGGTTTCTTCAGAACAATGCAAACATTCTATGTAACTGTTGCAATTTGCTGTCACAGACCAGAGCAGGCGAGCTTAGCATGTGAAACATTCAGCAACTTTTCAGTAGCAAATACACTACACCAAAAACAGTTAGTACAAGATGGTACCAAAGTACTTGCAGCAGAACTCAAGAAGAAATAGAAACGTAATATTTAAGGAGGACTTTGTTGACTATCAACCGATAGGACCTATAAGACTCGATCATGACAACATGCGGCTATGATAAGCAATACGCCCTTTAAGAAGGTAGGGCGTGAGTAACATGCTTTGCACCAGAAAGATAGGATGCAAGAACATGGGGCAAAACTGCAAATTAGCCTTCTAGCTGCTTTAGCACATGGCACGCTTAAATGTTTACTGGATTCCCAGCGCACTGTTCATATTGCCTTAGTCCTGCACAATAATGGCTTACAAATAAAAATTCCAAGATGTGAAACATGGTCATTTCCAGAAGCCTATTCAAAAGTCTTGATAAGTCTACACAAGTAAGGCATATAACCATATGGCCTGCCTAAGGCCACTGCTAAAATTGATGAATTCGAATGGCGGAGTAGGAGCAAATTTCTCAGCTCCTTTCGGAGCAAGGGTTTTTAATGGCAGAGTGAGAGTGGGAGTAAAGTGCTTCAATGAGAGAGTCAAGAGTTGGATTCAGAGTGGGAGAGACTCAGAGGAGCAGCAAAAGCAGCTCTGCCGAAATCTGCGGAGTAGACTGGAACTTGGCGTGACGTACTCCCTTTATGCATTCGCCCGCTTGCGGGTGCTGCAGCTGTCACATGTTTAGGCAGTAATGACGGACAACATGTCCAACTGGGGCAAATCAAGCGGAATTGACAGCAACAGCTCGAGTCAGTAAGATCCAGTTCCTGCACGACCAGTTTATACAAAAGTGACAGCGACACTCACAGAGTCCATTGGCTGCTTTGACTCTGCCATTAGAATTCAACATAATTCAATTTCACTGAACAAGTGAGAAGGAGGAGCCCACCATGGGGTTGGAATCAGAGAGAAGATCTCGCAGCTGATCCAAAAAGCCCTGGTCCTCCACGAGGGGGGCATTGATGTCATGCAACTTGGCGACGCACACGGCAGCCGTCTTTCGCACGTAGGGGTCCTCGTCTTTTAAGCACTTCCGCAGGGGTTCGCATAGGTACTCCGTAATCTTGTCCACGCGGATGCAACCCATGGTGCGCACCGCCAGCGCCCGGATCAGGGGGTTGCCGTCCTCACAGTCCTGAGAGAACACGCAAACCACAAGGACAAATGTCAAGTACTGTGGTACTGTATCCCTACCACAGATCATTTCATCATTGTTAATCATTTCAGACAAGAGAAAGGTATAGTGAAATGGGCAATGTACATAAATAAACACATAAAACAACAATAATGACCAACTTATTTCTACTGCAGACGTGCACAAGTTGCGAGAAACATTGCGAACAAATGCTTTGAACTGACCATGCAGGGTTCTCAAGCATGCATCCTTATCTTCCAGTAAGAACATGAGTTTCTGCATTCATTCCAACAAGACTGTGGCAGCTGAAAGCTGCATTTGTGATCACTGAAGTCCGACTAAAGAAGCCATGAATTTTTATGTTTTGTTTAGATACTCTCTAGAAGACAGTACAAGCTTTCAACATACTTTTTAAAACTAGTGAAACCAGAAGCAGTGCCTAGCCACGTCCCCAATTCATCGCTTTGTTGAAGTAGAGGTGGGGCTGGACACCTGTTGATGTTACCCCAGATCTGCCCCTTCCAAGAGTGTTGCGAGGATTTAAGGAGAAGAGGAGTGGCTCTTCAACACACACATGCACATGCACGCACACAAACAAAATAAAAATTGGCATGTTGTAACTCCACCAACTCCTCCCCCAATGATTCTCATCCTTTCTCATAAGTTGAATTCAAGCCATGCAGCATCTAATACATTACGGCTGTATATCATAGAGACATGGTGCCCATACTCCCTCCATTTTGCGGACTTGCGCGGAATTGTTATTTGCCACACTTAACAAGGTACGACTGCTACCTACAGAAGCATTTCTCCAATACAGATAGATGAATAAGAATGACAAAATACGACACAATTTCCTGAAAAGGTATGCCGTTGCTTGTGCTGCAGCCATGGAACACATGAGGCACTGGCAATCTAAAGGGCATGGGGGCAGTTGTGATAACATTCTCATAACCACTACTGAATTACTATTACACAAACCAATGCGAGCACATTACTCTCCAATGGGTCTAAATATTTCAACACTCAAAGAAAAAGTCAATACAAAGAACAGTGACTACTCACTTTTACAAATGTATTCACAGCCATTATAGCCATATCAGGTTGACTCTTAGCATAATTCATCAGGTAGAGGTAGACAAGTTTCTTCAGTTCTAGGTTGTCTGTCTGCATGCAGTTCACCACATCTGGAAACAGGGCACTGCAAGAAAGCATAAAGTTTCAATGAGCTGGTTTAGCACTAAATTAGCCCAGACATCAACTCACTCGGGGGTCATGTAATTATAGGGCAGTCACAATGCTCATCTTCAGACCCCTCTCATGCCATAACTGATTGGATGTTCTACCTATATGTGTGGTTTAACGTCCCAAAACCCCCATATGATTATGAGAGACGCCGTAGTGGAGGACTCATTTCGACCACCCGGGGTTCTTTAACATGCACCCAAATCTGAGAAGACCCTACCGAATTTTCACTTCCAACGCAAATGCAGCCGCTGCAGCCGGGATTCGATCCCGCGACCTGCGGGACGGCAGCCGAGTACCTTAGCCACTATACCACCGCCGCGGGGCACTGATGGGATGTTAAGCAAGCTGAAGATCACACTGAATACGTCTCGACCTATTTCTAAAGCCTCTTTCCTTAGCTTGTATAGGTTAATTTTACTTACTGAGAATAGCGTAACAACAAAATCGCAGCTGTTAAGTATCAGCCATAGGTGTTCGCACAAATACAGTAAGCACCAGCTGTGTACAACTAAGCATAAAATCAAGAGTGAATATAGAAAATATCTCTTCACCTTAACAGACGAAGCACAAGAGCGTGCACAGTGGAACATGCTACACTGCTTAGGGAACTAGACTGATAGCTGAAGCACAGATATTAGCCCCAGTGAATGTCCCCAGTGTGCTGATAATGCCACATTTTTACTCTTGATAAGCAACTATTGTAACATGTGGACAACATGAACGTTTGTAGTTAATCTGGTCTGCAAGAGGCTAAAGATAGAGACGCCATTCGCTTGTGGCACTTGTAGATTTCGTCTCAAAAGTTTCTATTCATGCGACTGCAACAAGCCCTGTGAAACGTGGCCTAGCAGTGCTGAAAACCAACTAGTAACTAGAGGAAATGGTCAGCTGTTGTCCATGCAATCTGATTCTTCTGTATACTTCATCCCAAGTGTAATTAATGAATCCCACTTTTTCCAATCTCACAGGCATCAGATAGATAAACTGCCACCGATGCGTATGGCATCATGTTAGCAAGTGAAATCTCTGAACAACAAAATTATGGCAAATCTAACGTTGCTTCCAATACAAATATTAGACACGCACAATTTCTGTAGCGACACTGATCGATTAGCCCTACTAGCAGCAAGATTTTTACACTGACCATTTCGAATTTTGCCGAAATACTCAAATTTTATGTGGCAGCTTTCGCAGTCAAGTTACACATTATTTTAGGAACAAACATGATCGTCAATTGGCGCGGCATTGCCGCAAAAACCCCGCGCTTCGGCGGTCTCGTACTTTCCTTGCTGCGCAAAGGTGTAGTTAGACAGAACGAACTTTTCTAGGAACTGCGAACCCTGCTCACGCACGGCAGCTGGAATGTAGTTGCTCCACTTAAACGGGGGTGTAATGTGCGATCGAAATCGGCTAACATACACGAAACTGCGAGCTCAAAACCTTTGGTCTGGTACATCGGATGTCTGTAGGCTCTAAGCCAATTCCAAAGTTCGTCAGCATCAACGGAAACACAGTGTGCTGCCTGTAAACATGCAATAGTGTCAAAAAAAGGCGGCCATGCTACGCCGACGAAACCCACCTGACATCCTTGCCGACTGTCATCGAAGCGATCACTTTCTTGACTGCTTCGCGTTTCTTCTCTTTTTTGTCGCTGTTCAGTTCACTCTTCAGCTCGAATATTTCACCTGGAATCAACCAGCAATGGTCAGCCGACGGCCACGCGTGCAAAAATTTGCCCGTCAAGAGCAAATGAGCGAGAACATGAGCCGGTCGGCGTTCCCGCCCCCTTCACAGCGAGGGGCGCATAGCCACGGTTTAGGAACGGATAAGGAACGAAATTTGTTTCATGCCATTGAACGAGGGCTTCGACGGAACGCACGTTCACTCCTCGTCGGCTACGTTCACATATGGTTAAGGAAAACGAGAAGAAAAGTATTCTCAAACTAACCTTTCTTGGTCGTCGTGAAGTACTTTGCGTCAGTCATGATTGGCTAAAGTAGCGGTGCACGGTATTCTGGCGAATATGAAGAGAAGAATGGAGAACACATGTCAGGGAAGAGACGAACGCAATGCACCTCCCCGAATCGCGCGTAATAACCGCGACAGCGAGGTGCGAAAGCTCATCAGATGCACCGAGACTCACCGAAAAGAACGTGATTTAGGCGTAGTTCAGCTCCCCTCTCTGAGCGGTTCGCGTGTGAATAGGCGCTGTGTTCACTGGGCCGGCGGCACCATATCCAACCAGCCTCGATACTGGATAACTAACGGGGCTGCTTTGGCAAAAAAAGCGTCTCTTCAATGCACCAAATCGCTTGGACACTTGCCTGGCATAAAGTGCATATACGCCCCTGAAGGAAACACTCCCGATTATTGCTTATGCTGTGCTGCGCAAGCCACGGCGAAACTCGCATTTGAGCCGGCGCGCGGCGCTGCTATCCAACATTTTTTTTTTCTCTCTTTCAGTCTCCTAGCGACAGCGTCGCAGCGTCACTCTGCTAGAGCAACGGCATTGGCTAGAGTGTACTAGATTTATAGTTCATTCCAAGTCTGCAATGCTAGATATTGGAAGAGTTTTTGCATGTTCCGAGTCTTCGCTCATTCAGTGCACATATTTGCAGTAGAGCGCTAAAGCTAGAAGAATTATTTCATCTACATTAGGTACTGCGAACTGCATGCCCTTACTCGCAACTCTCGGCAGTCCCGCGTGTTAGCTGCACCATGACTAGAACAAATTGGAGTGTACTAGAATTATATTACATTCTACCATGAGGAAGATTGGCTCCAGCTTATCACCAGCTCCGCAAAGGACCAGCAGCTAAGGGCTGTCCAGAGAGCCCGCGAAGTCGCCGAGAGCCTCCCGGTGCCATCGTGGGCGGGGCCCCCAGACGGTACCCCCTGACGGGGACATTCTCGTCTTCTCAGGACCAAATAAAGTTCTTTGACTGACTGACTGACTCATGACCGGGCCAGCACACCCGACGCAACACATGGGACGCAGGAAACGAAATCGTAATTTGCCAACCGAGATGTGATCAAACACCACCGCCACTGTACTCCGCTGATAGCAACGCTACCTTTTGTAGGGTCTTGCAACAGGCGCGGCTTACCTCGCCATCCAGCCAACTCCATTTTACCAGAAATGCTAAAAACACTTGTGGGGCTAAGTGGTGAAACATTTTTGCCTAAAATGTTATTGAGCTACGTTTAACGAGGGCAAGACTGAGAAGTAGAGAACAGTCAGCACCTGTCACCTACGCCTTCGTCTTGTCCTCATCAAATGTAGCACTACAACATTTTAAGCAAGTGTAGGCTTTCAACTGAAGTAGAATGACGAACTTTTGTTTGCTAAGCATATACAATTTGGTGAAATTTACAAGTGACTGACATGGTCATCTGCCACTTACCATGCAGGAAGTGATTTGCAATTGTTTTATGTTCTGTGCCATGCACATGAATGACAAAACAAGTACAGGGACAGCAGCTCTGCTTTATGCAAAAAAAGTTGAAGACACATGACTGGAACATCAGAATATGCTTAGTCACACTCCAGACTTGAAGGCTCTCTTCGGTCGGTCTTCTCCTATGTGTACACACTTCCCAATGACAGTGATGATGGCTGAAGGCAACTCATTTGTAGAGCACATGAGGCGACACACGGTATGGAGTAAACAAAGCACAAGTGACTCGTGCGCAATGGTTGATGTGTCTATATAAAATATGCACGTCCCGCACATTACAGCAGTAGTTGTAACACCAAGCTTCACAGGATGATATAACAAAATGCTAGTCACTTCCCAAGGAAAAAAAAAACGTAATACAAAAAAGAAAGCTTAGCATTTGTGTATACAAATAGTTCTGGAGCCACTATACGCAAGTGTCTGTTGCATGACCACAGGCACCAAGACAACAGACATGTGACAACCGCGCATGCTACTGTACTGCCTCAATCTGCTGAATGTACCACAGTTTAATTGGAACAGCTCCTACAATTAACAAGCCATTTTCTAAAAACTGGTTACAAGTAATGCTCCCCATGAAATGGAGACTTCGATACAACTGCCTACACTCCCCGAGGAATGTATGCACCTCGGACTAGTTGGCAAATCACGCTCAAATGACAAACAGCAAGCACACTCTTTCTTTCCCTGGTACGAAAAAATTTTCAGCTCGTGCTGTTGCTGGTGCTTACCAAGAGCGAGTTTGGTCGTTCCAGGATGACCTCTGAAGCATGCAAAGACAGAATAAGTCCTCATGCACGATGATATACGATGAAACTCTGCACCCACAAACAAGGAAGCAGCACTCTATAGAATTTTAACCTGAAGTGTACTCTGTTGAAAGATCTTACACATTTACAAGAGCTTTTCTGCATTTAACATTTTGCACCTTTTCCAGTGCACTCTGTTTGGATAAAAAAAAGTCTTGTCCTGTACTGTCTGTAACTGTAGTCAGTTTTGCCCAAGTTGTTTTCCTTAATGCTACTTGTGCCCTGTGATTATACTGACATCATAGATAAGGTGCACCTACTATTTCAACAGTAATGCCTGCGCTGCAAAACATTAAGCAGAAATGTTCTCTGAAGAGATAGTGACGGAAGTGAATTATCAGGATCCTACCTCATGTCGCGCAAGTGTAGGGCAAGAAATGCGCTCCGACGACAATCATTTTGGAGCAGCAAACAGGTGCACTGTAAAGGGTGTAGTGGTAAAAAAGTACACCCTGGAAGGCATCATATTCCAAGAGTAAAGAGTGCAGTCGCAGGGAGATTCAGCATTTTTCTGGGAGACTAAATGTGCACTAAAAGATGGCATTCTGCACGTGCATTGCACAGGTAACTTAAAAAGCTGCGAAAGATAGTGGCGGAAGCTCATGAACTGGTGGCTCCCCGTAGCACTAAAAAAGTCCATTCACTAATCTCTCAGTTCCAATACTGGAGGGCTCCAATCAGCTGCACCCAACTTTGATAACTACAGCATAATGTGCGAAAACGATTTAAAATAGAAAAGAAGTGAAGGAAATACAGTGCTATTCCCTCAATACAATATAAATATATATATATATATAAAAGCTTTTTTGTGTGCGACTAAAGTGCATTGTATCTGCAGAGAAGAAATATCAGCGGAGATGCCTCATTGTGCTTACAACAGCCGACAGACAGCAATAGAAAATTCATTTGTTACTACAAAAAGGAAAGTCCGTGCCCACAGTGCCTGGTAACCAGCAAGCTTCAACGTTTTTAGTCATCCAATCTGAAAGCTAGAAGCCTTCTTAATGCGTAAACGTTTGGCTTAAATAGTCAGCAGTAACAGTAGATAATTATTTGATGCAGAAAAACCATAACTTTCATCAACAAACATCACAAACTCCAGCCAACTAGAGTTGAACATAACGGGTTGAACGGCCAGCGTGACACAAGAACCAAAAGTGTACTGAAGATGATAGAGCTGGAAAGGCATTTCGACAAGACAGATCCATAGAAGGCAAGACAATCTGAACACTGAGAGACTGAAAGCCCATCAAACATTACAACACAATTGCTGCCAATGCGCAACACACTTAACAAATTGAAGTCGGAGCTAAAAAAATATAGCCCCAATTGTCGCTACAAGAAGAAAATCAAATTATAGACTCCAAAACTTGGGTCATAGTGAACAAAAACGCTGCTATTTGGTCACAAAAAAAAATTCTTCCTGCATAAGCTGGAGGATGGACATGCAGCACAATACTAAAACAAGGGACAAAATTGTAAAAGAACCCATGAGAGTAAAACTCTCAAAACCTGCTTTAAAATTTGGTAATCAACAAAGGAGCTTGAACAAGATATGTGTAAAAGAAAAGCAGTGCACAAAGGCAAGCCGAAACATCAACACAATACTGCACTCAAGTGCTGCGTCAAGTTTCCAGTTTTCGTTCGTCACATTCTTGCATCGTAGAGCCTATGCGATCATCTTTCACTATTTACGTGCCAGCAATTACAAGACTATCAGGTAATGAAAAGCATACTAAATAATTAAATTGCACAGAAATAAGCACGAAGCACTTCTGCCGAAACTTGGAGAGAGCAAAATGAAAAATCTAGTATTCATCCCCTGTCTGCCCAAATCTTGTGGAATGTCTTGCTAAGTGCAGAAGTCTTTTAAGCATCTTGCAGGGGTTGTCAAATAAAATTCCGGCCCTAGTTCTTAATTCTGTATGCTCGATGATCAAATCAGAAAGGAGCAAACATCCCTTGATTTTTACACAAGTGCTTGAATGCATTCTCAAGTCAATACAAATTGATATCTTTGTAAGCCAGCTATGGCATGCAACATATTCAAGTGCATTTTAAGCCAGTTTTGTGCTGCCCCAACTGCACTTTAAACAATGTCAGCAGTCAGAATAAGGTTCAATGTAGAAAAGACTATGAATTAAATCTACCATGTGAGAAAGGGTATTTAGCGCTCAAAGCCTCTCCCATACATGCATACTATCCGAAACATTTTTCATTCATTGCCATAGTCGGGACCAACATTACGGAAAGCTTTTGGTGGAGCAAGTATATAAGACAGAACTGTAACTAGTGCAGCCTCCTAAAGAATCCCCACTGTACCAGCCAGCACACCTCACATCATTGATAGTGTTTTTTTTTTTTTTAAGTCCTTAACAGTTGGCATTTTACTACCTCATATATAGTCATTGCAGTTCAAGCTACCGCCATAAAACTCTCTTGGGGCCACGATAGGTAAAAAGCTTGCAATGCAGCTTCTTAATGCAAAGGCCGAAGTTCCTTTAGTGATATAGATTATGTAGTGCCAGCATCTGGAAAACTAGTCGACAGCTTAAACCGGTAGCTCCAAGACACTCAGAGACGAAAAGAATTTTATGAGGAAAGGGTTTGCATCTCTAGATAATAAGAACTCTGGCCAAAAAATATTTCATGAGGCTTTCAATGAGCTGCGACAGCCTCTGCCAAGATCGAGCTGGTGCAAAGGTCTTTTTTGCTTAAAAATGATGCCACTAAACGGGATGAACTTTTGGTTGAGTACACCGAATTAAAACATTTGTCATCAATGCCGAAAAAGCTTTATGGTTAGCATCTACAGGAGCCACAGACTACGTGACATACAAGTAGATAATTTCCGCATTTGACGATGTTCAGAGGGTTATTCGTGAATGCCAGTTGGCCTGTGGTAAAAACACTTGTCGATTAAAATAAAAAGCCTTGGTGAGATCACGTCTCCGTATGCAACACAACTACAACTTACTTATCAATAAACAAGGGCTTGCCTTGTTCCAAAAAATGAGCAATTCTTGAGAACGAAGATGCACAAATACTGTACCCTGTTTGTGCTAGAGATAAGTACTTAGCTTCCAGCATCACCCAAAGCAGTTCCATTTTCTACCCCTTCGTGTGTATCAACAATGTGACATTTAGGATGAATCAATATTCCTTGCAACAGCATTTGGTGTTTAAAAAGCTGACACGGAAAGGCCACGTGCTCCAGTGTAACGACGTTATGCCACAGACTGCATGTCTGTTCCCGGTTTACACCGCACTGTAAGACTAAGAATAAGCTTTGGCTGGATTATCTCATCCAAGTTCCAAGCAACCTTCCTACAATTGGGCATAGCAAACAACAGAATTGCTATCCATGCAGCAAAGAGAAAAAATTTGCAACTAAGTAACAACACATTAGCGCATTGTGGTCGAAAGCATAATATCTGAACCAGATAACTCGTGCTTGGAACGTCAGTGCCTTTCTTGGTCGTTAAGGCAGTGTAAAGTGTACGTCGTGCAGTGGCGAGTTTTCTTAAAGCTCATCAGAAAAGGGTTGGAAAGAAATTTTCAGCGTGCTTATTCACAGTGACGAAAATTTCAATTACTCATGTCTCAAGTCTGCATGTGGACAACCACCAGTGCTTTTTACAATTCCCACACGAACTTACAAATGTGCAGACATCTCAGAGTACTCCCTCGACTGGGAAAATTTTTGAGAAACCGGCTTGCTTAATAAACACCACCTGGCAGCTGTGAGAGGGCTCGGCCAATGACTGGCAACAATAGAAATAACATTCCTGTGCTTGTATGCATCACAATGACGAATAGTCGCTATTTAATACTTAGAAGTGCAAAATTAACGATGAAAGGAAGCAACACAGATATAGCAGGGTACTGTGTTCCTTCTAGGGCACTGTGTTTCTTCCCATCCTCGATTTTGTGCTTCCAAGTATTAAGATTATGAACCACATGCCCAGCAACGCATACTTTTAATACTCCTATTTCGAGATGCTTTCTAGAATCCTTTCATAGTCCTTGTCATGGTAGCTAGCGTGATAAACCTGAGAGCCATTCTTATGTGTCGAGACTCTATCTAATATCTTAGCCATTGCTAAGGAAACAGCGACCAAGACTTAGATAATCCAATACACAGGTTGCCAAACAAGCTTAGCTTACAAAAGATATGTACAGACTACAATGTCTGCATCCTTTCTTCGTAGTCTGAGCATGCTAGATACAACATTAACACAAGACGATCAGACCCCTTGCCCATATGCGCAAAACCAATATGCAAGCGAACACTTGATTCATCTTCTAAGGCATCATAGTAAGAGAGTATAAAGGAGTAGGTTCTCTGATGGCAGATCTACCAGTTGCTTGCAGACACGTTTTTTCAGCAACGTTGCAAAAAAGCCAACTTGGTCAGCGCTTCCCCAGACAATCTATTGTTGTCTTGAATACCTTTTACACTGTTCCCTTTCACAGCAGCTCACCCTGTATGCAACACCAAGAAAATAACTGTAATATTACAAGTCACCTCAGAAAACAAACGTTCCATATATAATGCAAACTGGCAAACATTGCTAGCTTCCCAGAGCTGTGTGCTGTTGAACACGCAATTCTTGCAATGACTTCATTTACCTCTACCCTGGCCATCCAAGACACTCGAAACGGTGAAAGATATTCTGCACTTCCAAACCAACAAAATGTTTTGAATACTGCTGGCAGAGCGGCCCCTCTCCCTTCCCACATGTGAAATTTCGCTGCAGTTCAGAGAAAGTGTGCGCTTGCCAATTTACCGCGAGGATTATACAACAGCTTACATGGGCAAATGCTCAAGGATTGTCGAAAAATGCCCCGGCTACAACAGCTAACAATTTTGGCAAACCGGTGAAAGAATGCGTTTATTCTGACTTTGCCTAACACAGTTGCCTTGAGTGGCGAATGTCAACAATTACCTGCTACGAGTGAATGAGCACATCATCTGTGGTGCTCGTTAAGTAGGGGGAAAAAAAGAAAGAAGCAACAAGGAAAAAGGAGAATCCAAAATGTGGCAAGATAAGTTTTGGACAGGGACAGGCCAAAAACTAGGGAGATGCGTGGCGTGACACACTTTCGTCATAAATCTCCTTAACGGCAAAGTTTGTCATTCCACGAGCACAGGCCAAATATTCTCCACAGCCTGTCTTTACGAGCTGCAATCATGCTAATGTTGAAGGAAAAATAATAGCAAAGTGCAACAGAAATATAATCACAGATAAAACTTTGTTTCCATTGCAAGAAGCGCTCACAGCAAGTGTCAAGACAAACAAACAAATAAAACAAAACAACTGCAGACTAGAAGATGCAGAGAGAAAAACATTCACTTAAGAGGGACAAATGCTAACACATGACACTGTGCTGGTGAAGCCTCAATAAAAACACGCCCACACACCACGCCAAACTACACACTTGTGATCGTTCAAAACAGACAACACATCACACTAGCAGCATACACATGTTGTGACCCAGATAAAACAACGCCAACCCACTCAGGGCCATAAACAGTGTCCATCACACTTTACATCAGCATTCACACCAAAACAGGCATTGCATTTCCATACATTCGTAGATAATGATTTAAATTATTTGCAAATACACACGCATGCACGCAACATACCCATACAGATGAGTGTGTTACTTTCATAACCCCTTGCCCTTGAACACCTCCACACACGCACACATTCTAAAATCCTCAAATATATATATAATGAGTAAAAAAACCTTGACAACAATAAGCCCTAGGTCCCGCGGTACCTGACCATGCCTAGATGAAGATACAATGGCATATTTGTCCTTCGCAGCTGGCTATGCAGCTGGCTTCACTGCAATGCCGTAATGGCGTCACCACCACACAAATGACACCGAGCGTTGAACACACACACACGAAAGATTGCGCGTTTTTTTTTTTTTTTTCCACCACAAGTCTTGTAATGATCACATGACAACACAGTCCCCCGCAGAGTTCTCTCATAGAAAGCAGTTCGTCACCGAGGAAGGGCCCAACTCGACGTTATGAACACAGCACTATTAGTTTTTCTTTTTTTCTTTTAGTTTCTTGCCTCGCACAACGCTTCCGCAGACCTTTCTGCCTGTCCCCGACTGATCGTTACACAGCAATGGTATGCACTCGACAAAAACAAGCTTCCAATAGCAACTGCACTTTCAGAGAGCCAATCAGCTTTCCCAATTTCAACCATTCGTCCAATGACCACACGTGTAAAGAGCTGAAGAACCAACCCCTTATAGGGGTGATTACTTTCATTGCACACATCCCAGCAGGACACTTTGCATGCTGCCATTCAGTTTTGCTCTTTCCAAACCTAGCTCAGTAGCGAAAATGTGTTCAGGCTTTTAGATACAATTAGTTTATTCCTCAAATTATTCTAAAGCAGAAAGAACCAGTCTGCCAGAAAAAAAAAGTTCCATGTGCTTATCTGAAGTACAGGGGTACTGTCTCACATTAAACATTTTCCTCAAAAGGTGCAGTTTCTCTTTCCAACGACCGATCTGATATAAACTACCGCAAGTAATGTCTCATATAAAAACATAAGAAAAAGGTGAATGAAAAAGATGAAAAAAAACATGCTATTGTTCATCACACGTCTTGGAGCTTGCTCTTTTGCACCAGTTTTCTTAGTGGCCAGGTATGCGAATGTATCAACCATGGATTAAGTCTTTGTGCCAAAATGGCTGGATTATATCACGCATGCCTTGGAAGTACCTAATAATGGCATGAGCAACACGTGACTGCTGTGATACAGCATCGGCTCAACGCACCGACAATGATATCATCTAGAAAGTTGAGCATGCAGCTTTGAGCAATGATTGATTGACCGCAATTACCCATGATGCACCTTTGTTACTGGCACTGGTACAATAGAAATGTGCAACATAACTCTAGACCTCGCTTTTGTCGAAAATAAATAAATAAATAAATAAAAGCAAGAGACACCGGCCCTATTCGGACTAATTCGTACAGGCACTTACTGACGAGCACCTCACAGAGTCTTGAAAGCATCCTGTCTTTTTCGAAAATGGGCTAGCGAATGGAAGGGCGTGCCCTCGAGAAACGCGCCTTTCTGAAAACGAAAAAACGACTGGTCGCGGAACAGGCAGAACACTGCTACGCTCGCAAGCGAGCATACTTGACTCCTGTGACATCGTTGGCAACGGCCGGTGTGTCCAAAGAAGGCCGTCCCACTTTGGCTGTGGCAATGCGGCACCACCCTTCAGAAGGGCGGGAAGTACTGTGGCGGTGGGTGGCCATTGCGAAACAGGGCCACCACAGGGGAGGAAGGGGCCGACGACGACTGGGGCGGCGGCGGCGCATCCTCTTCCTCCACGGGGGCGTGTTGTCAATCCCAACCATTCTCCTTGATCATGTGAGCCAGCTCGATGATGTACTTGCCCTCCTTGTACTTCTGGCTCGACTCGAAGGCATGTTCCTGCAGTTTCGGAAGGCAGAAAAGAAAAAAAAATGTTGATGCGAAAAATGTGATGCGAAACCTCAACGTAAGATGTTCGGTGCTCACAAGGAAACCTTCTGCACCACTGCTCATCATTAACCAAGCCGCTGCTTGGTTATTGATGAGTAGTGGTGCAGGAGTGGGCGAGGTTAAACCCTTGCATGGCTAGGGTTAAACCCTAGCCACGCAAGCACCATTGAACAGTAGCTGTCAAGCCACTGCCGCAGATGGAGACAGTCTGCGCAAACGCCGTGTCAAGTTTGCCCATAAAAGCCAAAGCAACACATAGTGATGCTGCGATGGATGGATGGATGGATATAGCTGTACCCTTTAGATCGGGCGGTGGCTAACGCCTCCTAGCCGTAACACTTAGTGAACCAACTACTAGATTTACCTTTTTTTTCCCCTTTGAATACTGAAGTTGAGTTCGGGTACTTTGCAGTGAAGAATTTAATTTTCACTCGTGCCTTGATTTTAGCCACCAATCAGATAACCTCCTTCTAGTTATTTCGACCAGCTTAAAGTCTATTTTGCCCTCGCTGTCCCTAAACCTCAGTGCTTTGAAAAACTCTGCGCCATCATCTTGAACTATAGGGTGAAGCCCTTTACAGAACATTATCAGGTGTTCGGCAGTTTCTTCTTCCTCTCCACACGCACTGCATACTGTGTCTACCCCTTCGTATTTGGCTCGATATGTCTTGGTTCGCAATACTCCCGTCCTGGCCTCAAACAGTAGAGAACTACCTTGAGTATTATCATAGATCCTTTCCTTGGCGATTTCCTGCTTAAAAGTTCAACAGATCTCTAGTGCGGACTTCTTAATCATGTCTATTCGCCACATATCGGTCTCCGTTTCCTTCACCTTCTTCTTAACTGATAGTTCTTTTTGGTTTGGCCCCCTGCTCTTTTCTAAGTACTTACCTGTTAATTTTCTGGTTCACTTCCTCCATTCTGTATCGACATTCCTCATGTACAAGTAGCTGAAAACCTTCCTAGCCCAACGCTCCTTGCCCATTTCTCTCGATCGCTTCTCAAAATTTTATCTCGCTGCTAGCTTCCCTGCCCTCAAATGATGTCCATCCCATATCACCTTGTACTGCCTGATTTGTTGTATTCCCGTGAGCTCCTAAAGCAAGCCTACGTATTCCACGTTGCTTAATTTCTAATCTTGCTTGAATTGAACTTCCGATCTCATGCACAAGACCGCATTGCCGAACGTCAGCCCAGGGACCATGACCCCTTTCCATGTTCCTCTCACATCATCATACCTATTGTAATTCCTCAGAGCCCTATTTTTCATCACCGCTCTATTCCTGTTACCTTTAGACGTTAGGTATATTTCGTGTTCCCTGAAATTCATGAACGCCATGGCTATGGATAACGCCGACAGACACTCCCACGTTTAAATTCACATATATACCCAATAAAGTGGCTGGGAGGATAGCAGCCGTGGTAGAGCATCGAACGCGTTATTCAAAGGTCGCAGGTTCGGTTCCTGCCCACGGCAAGTTATTTTTGACCCACTTTTCTTCCTTCATATTTACATTACAATTCGGTCTAATAACTTCCCCTATACTTTCCTTGGCATTATTGTCTGTTAGATCTCATTAACATTGTGTCAAAACATGGAAAAACGAGCCCTTAAGTATACACTTCTTTCCCTTATTTATTAACGAGGGTCTCATACTGGCAGACTTGATGCCTTAGGTTGTATACGAGGGACTATTGGTCAGCTACCAGCTCGTAATAAGTTCACGTGCTACGTGACGCCACACAGGCTCATAAAGAGTGTGTCACACTTGCCCCATGGCTACAGATGACGCTGACAGACACTCCCACGTTTAAATTCACTTATATACCTAATAAAGTGGCTGGGAGGATAGCCGCCGTGGTAGCTCAGTGGCAGAACATCGAACGCGTTATTCGAAGGTCCCAGGTTCGGTTTCTATACACGGCAAGTTATCTTTTCACCCACTTTTCTTTCTTCATATTTCCATTACAATTCGGTCTAATAACTTCCCCTATACTTTCCTCGGCATTATTCTCTGTTGGGTCTCATTATTATTGTGTCAAAGCAAGGAAAAACGAGCCCTTAAGTATACACTTCTTTCCCTTATTTATTAACAAAGGTCTCGTACTGGCAGACTTGGTGCCCTAGGTTGTATACGAGAGACTATTGGTCAGCTACCAGCTCATAATAAGTTCACGTGCTACGTGACGCCACACAGGCTCATAAAGAGTGTGCCACACTTGCCGCCATGACTACAGATGGCGCTGACAGACACTCCCACGTTTACATTCACTTATATACGTAATAAAGTGGCTGGGAGGATAGCCGCCGTAGTAGCTCAGTGGCAGAGCATCGAACGCGTTATTCGAAGGTCCCAGGTTCGGTTTCTACACAGGGCAAGTTATCTTTTCACCCACTTTTCTTTCTTCATATTTGTAATTAACTTCCCCTATACTTCCCTTGGCATTATTGTCTGTTAGATCTCATTAACCTTGTGTCAAAGCACAGAAATTGAGCCCTTAAGTATACACTTCTTTCCCTTATATATATATATATATATATATATATATATATATATATATATATATATATATATATATATATATATATATATATATATATATATATATATATATATATATACACACACACTGAGAAAGTGAATGTTGTGCATTAATAAATATAGCTTGAGTTTATCCCTGCAGTTTCACGATCTTGTTCCAGGAATTGAGGCCTATTATTGTCAGCGTCATTGCTCTAGATCAGTGGTTCTCAGCTATGAATGTGTTGGCGGCCCTTTGTGGACTGGTGGAAGGTGATGGGGGACCCCTTGAAGCAGAGGGGAGGGAGGGAGGGGAGGTACGTAGGTAAATTAACACAACTTTAACGTGAAACAGGTGCCTTTTATTGCTACTGTAGAGAGGAAGAAGATTATGTGCGGCAGTGGGTCACACCTTTAGCGAGAGAAGCCAAGCATGAGCGCTTGCCCCGAGTGCTGTGATTCCTGGGTCCATTGCTGCCGCCCGCTTTCCGCATTAATAGACCTGCTGTGCAAGTACTACCTGCGCCAATAAACCCCGTTTCAGAGTGGTGGAGGTGCCGGGGTAACTCCACCTGGAACTCCGCAACAGGAAACTACCTGCCATCCCAGAAATGGCTGAAGAAAACCCCCAGCAAAGTACGACCCAGCCTGCGATGGTCATCGTGCCCACTGCGCTACGCGAGCGCGATCCACCTTTTTTCGACGATACCGATGAGCAAGACGTAGAAGATTGGCTGTCGACATTTGAAAAGGTAGGCGCAAGCAACAAGTGGGACGACCCATCGAAGCTGCAATATGTACCCTTTTACCTGAAAGAGGTAGCGAGTCTCTGGCTCAACAACCACCACTCGGAATTCGCCACTTGGGGTGCTTTTAAGCTACGCATTACCGATGTATTCGGTCGCCCCGAGGTACGCAAGCTCCGCCGTGCCGAACAGCCCCTACGGAGACGCGCACAGCTTTAGGGGGAAGGCTTCACAAGCTACATCGAGGATGTGCTCGACTTGTGCAAACGCCCTGACCCTTCCATGATCGAAGCAGACAAGATCGAACACTTCTTGAAGGGGATAGACGACGCCTTCCAGATGCTGCTGGCCAAGGGCCCCCGTACCGTGTCCGAACTCGCCACTCTTTGCCAGAGCTTCGAGGAATTGCGCAAACAACGGGTCATGACACGGCGGCCAGCGGCTACCGACGAAACTCTCGGGGCATTGACCCTAGGTGGAGACCACAATGCAATCATGTCGGAAATCAAACGATATGTGCGCGAGGAGGTGGCCCGACAACTTTCGTGTCTGTCGTATCAACCGGCAACGGAACCCTCTTCTGAGCGTCTCGCGCTCGCCATCAGACAAGTAATACAGGTGCAGGTCTCCGAGGCACTGCCGTCCGTCTTTCGGAAAACAACTGTCAAACAACTGTCATTGACTTACGCTGCTGTTGCTGCAACTCCACCACGACCTCCACTTCGGCCGACTCTCCAGCCTGTACGAGTACCAACGGCGCCACTTCCAGCAACACAACAGCGCTATAACGGAAACCCTTGGCGCACAGTTGACAATCGCCCGATCTGTTGCGCATGCGGATATGCAGATCACGTGGCGCGCTTCTGTCGCCGGTGCTTCGCAACGGGCCCAGCTGTAGCTCCGAGGTACTCTGACGACTCTTTCACGGCCCCGTACAACGCGCGACGAGAAGTGCCCTGTCAATGCGACCGACAATCAGTGCAACACGACCAGTCCCCATTCGACCTAGACCACCACTCTGCTGCCAACTTCCGACCATTCGATCCCCGTCGCTCATCCTCACCACGCCACTACCGTTCTCCGTCCCCGCTTCGTCGCCGACCGAACCCCGTAGAGATGGAAAACCGACTGTCGCAGCTCCGGAGGCACGAGCTACAAAATCGTCGCATTGTAGAAGTCCTCGCCCGTCCCCCACAAATGTTCTGGAACTGTTTGTTGAAGGTCTACGAACTCTTGCACTTGTTGACACAGGTGCCGCCATATCTGTGATGAGTCAAAAACTTTGCCGTTCGATACGAAAAGTAACGACGCCGCCTTCCGACGTATTGCTGAATACCGCGAGCGTGCAACCTATTCGACCAGTCGGAGCATGTACGGCGAGAGTAATCATTCAGGACGTCCTGTACCACATCGAGTTTCTCGTGTTGGCCACTTGTTCCCGCGACATGATACTTGGATGGGATTTTTTGTCACGCCACCATGCCGTAATTGACTGCGCTCGCCCGCAGGTGGAATTTTCTGTGTTTTCTGATGCGCCATCTACCGACAATGAGCTCACTCACCTTGGCAAGCTTCTTGTTGCTTCCGACATAGATGTTCCCCCTCTTAGTGCCATCGTTGTCCCTGTCAATCGCACTGAATTGTCCGGCTCTACCGTTGTGTTCTCCCCATCTGACGTTTT